ACAAAACAAAACATTTTGGTCAGAGGAGAAGGACGCTGAATTGTTATTGCTCAGCAATTTTTACAGCTAAAAAGTTGCTTCCTCGCTTTAGGGAACCCAAAGGATATTATTAGGATTGGGTTGGGGCACCTGGGTGGCTCAGTCGTTAAGCGTCTGCCTTCCGCTCAGGTCATGATCCTGGAGTCCTGGGGAAAGAGCCCTGCATCGGGCTCCCTGCTCAGTGGGGAGTCTGCTTCTCCCTCTCCCACTCCCTCTGCTTGTGTTCTCTCTCTCGCTGTGTCTCTCTCTGTCAAATAAATAAATAAAATCTTGGGGCGCCTGGGTGGCTCAGTCATTAAGCGCCTGGGTGGCTCAGTCGTTAAGCGTCTGCCTTCAGCTCAGGTCATGATCCCAGGGTCCTGGGATCGAGCCCGGCATCGGGCTCCCTGTTCCGCGGGAAGCCTGCTTCTCCCTCTCCCACTCCCCCTGCTTGTGTTCCCTCTCTCACTGTGTCTCTCTCTGTCAAATAAAATCTTTAAAAATAAATAAATAAATAAAATCTTAAAAAAAAAAAAAGATTGGGTTATCCATGGCGTAGAAAATGCAGAGCGATTGGGGTGGGGGAAAAAATCCATTTAAAAAAAAAAATCTCCCATGGGGCACCTGGGTGGCTCAGTTGGTTAAGTGTTTGCCTTCCGCTCAAGTCATGACACCTGACTCCAGGGATCAAACCCCACATCTGGGCTCCCTGCTCTGCGGGGAGCCTGCTTCGCCCTCTCCCTCTGCTCTTCCCCCAACCGCCAATCCTCTCTCTCTCTCAAAAAAATAAAATCTTAAAAAAAATCTCCCCTCAAAACTCTGAAATTATGTGTGTGGGGAAGTTTCTGGGATAGTCATGTCTGTGCTTCCCAGGACGGGGCTCTGGTGGGGACACTGAGGTCCTTGGTGGTGTCCACCACCACTCCAATGGGGGCCTCTGAGGATCAAACCCTGGGATCAGATGAAACTGCATAGAATTTCACTCCCACGGGCGCCTGGGTGGCTCAGTCGTTAAGCGTCTGCCTTCGGCTCAGGTCATGATCCCAGGGTCCTGGGATCGAGCCCCGCATTGGGCTCCCTGCTCTGCCGGGAGCCTGCTTCTCCCTCTCCCACTCCCCCTGCTTGTGTTCCCTCTCTTGCTGTATCTCTCTCTGTTAAATAAATAAATAAAATCTTAAAAAAAAAAAAGAATTTCACTCCCACACTGAATAGGAGGGAGACCTCGTCCGATTTTAGAGGAGGAAAGGGCGTTCAGGAAGGTAACGTGCCTTAAGTGCCCCTGCTTGGAGGGGCCTCACACCTCACACCTCCCAGAGCCTGGTCCTCTGAGAGTGGGGGCCCTGGGCCAGAAGTTTCTTAGGGCCTCTCTGGCCAGAGGATGGGCCGTTCAGACCCTGTGCTGTGCTGGTTCAGGGGGCACAGAGTGAGGTGGGGGCTGGGACTGGCCAGGATCTGTCTGCCTCAAACCCAGCTTTTTTTCTTTAGCGGGAGAGCCAAAGAAAACCAGGAACAGGCCCAACACCATCTGGATGGGGACAGAGCACAGAGACTGAGATGCGTGGAAAGAAGGAGTGGCTAAGAGAGCTGGGGAGAGGCAGCCTCAGGGGGGAAGAAGGGGGAGGATACAGAGGCCTTTGGAGGTGGAGGCCAAGTGGTGGGGGATTGGGTTCTGGAACTGGAGTCCCACCCACTCCCCTGACTGGCTCCTCACGGTGTCTTCCTGGAAGGAGGAAGGAGGCCCATGCCAGCCTCTACCTTTTCTACCTCCACCCCTAAAACAAGCCTCCACTCAGCTGCCCATCTCCTCTGCCCACCCCCACCACCCCTACCCCCTGCTCTCCTCAGGCCAGGGCCCAGCCCTGTTGGGTCCCCTCTGACTCCCCTTCCCCTGGCCTTCCTACAGTCCCACTCTGTCCAACCTTGGAGGGTTTTGTGGGGGCCTCTGGCCTTGAATCCAGCTTTGGGCAATGGGTGGGTTCTCAAAGTCTTGGGGAGCTTATCATGGGGATCTTGGGGACTCAGGCTTCTTTGGTCCCTACTGGCACGCATGTTCCCATCCCCTTTTTCTCCCCCTTCCATTTCGTCTGGCTTCATGGGAGGGGAAAGCATGGAGAGGACCAAGGGCCAGGTGCCTGGAGATGGAGATGCCCTGCCTGGTGTCGGAGGTGGGTACTCTTCGGTTTTCTCTCTTGCTCAGGTAGGCCCCCCAGAATCACAAAGCCTGGAAAGCTGGGGTCACATGAGGTCAGGCCACATCTTTAAAGCCTGTTTCTGCTCTTTGTAAGGCCCTCATCTGTTTATACCAAACACAGTAGTGGGGGGTGGGCATAACTCCCCTACCCCCACCCCCGTCTGTGTACAATGACAACAGGGGTTGAGTGTGGGGAAGAAGCCATCCCCCAGGCAGACCTTATTTGTCCATAAACACAGTGGGCCCCATGCCCCCAGGCAGAGGAGGAGCAAAAACACCACCGGCCTGGGACTCTTCTCCTACTGCCCTGGGAGGAGGCACTCCCAGGCACACGCCCTCCTCCCCACGCTTGGGCTCTCCCTCCCAGCGCCAGCCAGAGTTGTTTCCACAGCAAGCTGGACTATGTTCTGTAAACTGCAGGCCCCTAGCCGGACAGCCCCCAGCAGAAGGACAGGTGTCCTGCCATGGCTGCACCTGGGGCGGTGGGGAGGGGAGAAACAGGAGGCCAGTGGGAGTGAAGGCCTTCTGTAGATCCATGCGATGCTGTGTGTCTCCTCATCCTGTCCCCTGGAGCGGTCAGGCCCCTCTCCCAGGGTCATGTGAGGGGTCCAGGCCCATGCACCTCCAGGACTCTCCACGGTTTACTGATCTGGGGCCAATCTTGAAGCCTGAGGGTGCCCCTCATTGTTCCCGAGCCCCTTGGGAAATGGTGGGGAGTGGATGTCCACCCCGGGGACTTTGTTTTGCAGCACCACCATCTCCCCTTTGAATTAATGATTGGTGGGGAGCCCTGGGGACACCATTTCTTGACCCCCCCCCCCTTGGAGTGCCTGACAGGTCCCATGTTTTCTAGAGCCCTGGGTGCGCAGCCAATAGAAGGTTCCTGGCCTTGCCCCACCCTTTTGTGGGTTTGCTTCTGTGTATAAAGCCTGGGGCCCCAGGTGGACAGTTCAGGGGGGCCAGCCCAACCCAGTGCTGAGCTCTCTGTCGGACAGCTGGCCCTGCTCCCTTTCCAAGATGCTGTTTTGGCACAAACAGTCAGAGCACCCATGGCCCAGTCCCGGGGAACTGTACCCAGGGCCTCCAACTGGCTTGCTCAGGTAAGAGCCAGAACCCCTTCCCCTAGCCTCCAAGGACAGTCCTGGTCTGAGCTGCGGTGGACAGATAGGGCCATCCGTTTCAAGCGGAGGGGGATGGGCTTCCTGTGCTTGGGTGCCTTTGTGGGTAGGGGAGTGGTCGAACGTTTAGTGGATCCTGGACCATCTTTTTTTTTTTTTTTTTTTTAAGATTTTATTTATTTGAGAGAGAGAATGAGAGAGAGAGAGCAGGAGAGGGGGGAGGGTCAGAGGGAGAAGCAGGCTCCCCGCCGAGCAGGGAGCCCGATGCGGGACTCGATCCCGGGACTCCAGGACCATGACCTGAGCCGAAGGCAGTTGCTTAACCAACTGAGCCACCCAGGTGCCCTGATCCTGGACCATCTTGAAACACCCTGACCACCCACCCTCTCAGGGCACTTTTGTTGGGCATTTTACTTGGTATCAGATAAGCCCTGAGATGGCAAACAAGTAATTGATGGCAGGTTTTTGGAGATGTTTGGTAGTATCTGGAATTTGCCCCTAAAGGGTGGTCTCCCAGAGGCCAGAGGAGTTGAGTGGGGGACTCTCAGGCCCTGGTTGTTGCTGGAGTGCCTGCTACAGAAGCCTTTGGCTCCCTGAGGATCTGGCAGAGAGAGTCAAAGCCCTACAGGGGATGGGGTGGAAGCCACCGGTGTTCCCCTCCCCCGCCAACAGGGAGTCCCTGCCCTTGCCCTACCTGAAGCAGGAAGAGCTGCACAACATCCCCAGCTCGGAGCCTCCCTGCCCCACATTCCAGTACGTTCTCTGTGCAGCCACCTCCCCGGCTGTGAAGCAGCAGGAAGAGACCCTCACCTACCTGAACCAGGGTATGCTGCTGGGCCTGGGGAAGGAAAAGGCGTAGTGGGGCAGTGCGAGATGGGGGTGGCAGGCTCCATCTCTGCCCCAGTGGGGTTCACACATCCCCTTGACCTCTCCTAGGCCAGTCCTATGAGGTGCGGATGCTGTGCAACCCCAAGCTGAGCGATGCTACCCAATGGGCCCAGCTGTTGAAGGTAGATGCATCCCCTTCCCGAACTGGCAAGGGCCAGGCATGACTGTCCCTCTGGGCAGGAAGCCAATGTCATCACTGTGATGTGACTGTCAAGTAGAACCCTCTCGAGCCCACCTTTTAACTTGACCTTCATAGCCGCACAGTGGTAGGCAGGCATTGTTGAGGAAAGAGGCACAGAGGTTAAATATTTTCTCAAGGACACAAAATAGCAGATCTGGGATTTAGAAGTACATTTACATAGCATTATTCACAGGCATGATTCCTTCTCTCCAAAAAATTATATATTTAGCTCCCATGCTTTGCCAGAAACTATTCTATGAGCTAGGGATTCAACAGTAAAGAGACAGATGTGGTTCCCTTCCTCAGGGAGCTTGCATTCTACTGAGACAAACATGTAATTAAACAAGTTATATGCAATAACAAATCGATTTACCAATTGCAAATTGAAAAGTGCAGCAAGAAAAGAAACAAGTAGAGTGGCCAAGAGTGGGAAAGGATTAACTCCCCCATTTCACAGATAAGGAAACTGAGGTTCAGGGTGTCTAGGTCACTTCCCCAGTTTCATAGCTAGTGAGTGGCAGGTGGGCGTCTGGACACGGACCTAGCGATCTAAGTGCTTATGACCCGTGAAGGTGGGAAGCAAGGTGGGGGCGAGGAGGGTGGGATGGTTGGCCTACCCCAGCGGTGGGAACTGGTTCCCAAATGCCCAGGCACCCTCTGACCTGTGAGCCGTGACTTCCTGTGCCTCCAGAGCGTGGTGCGTGTGGTTTTCCACGACCGGCGCCTGCAGTACACAGAGCAAGAGCAGCTGGATGGGTGGAGATGGAGCCGGCCAGGGGACCGCATCCTGGACATCGGTGAATGGGGAGGGACCAGGGACCCTTCAGGGCCGCTTTCTGGCTTGGAAGGCCACGTGGATGGCAGGGGCGGGCAGGGAGGCTGAGGCTTGCTCCCTGCTTGCCACCCCGTGCCTACAGATGTGCCACTGTCCGTGGGGCTGATAGAACCCCAGGTGCTGCCCTCACAACTCAACACAGTGGAGTTTCATTGGGACCCGACCAAGAGGACCTCCCTCTTCCTGCAGGTGAGTCTGAAGCTGGGACTGGGAGGAGGCTTGAGGTCAAATGGGAGTGGCAGGAGCCTAGGTGGGAAAGGAAGGTGAGTTTGGGTGGGGGTGAGGGAACAGTAAGAACAAACCGCTTCCAGAAAGCACCTTGAAGATAAAATATGACTAAATGTTTATTGAATCTCACCACAAGGAAGAACTTGTTAAACCTTAAAGCATTGGAAGAAGCTAGAAAACTCAGGACAGAACTTAGCTTCATAAAAAGTAATGGTCTGCAGTACATAGGCAAAATTAAAAGGAGACATCAAATGGGAAAAATAGTTGTCATGTGACCTATAATGCTTTATATCCTCAATATATAAAAAGTTCTCATATATCAATAAGAAAAAGTAGATGAAAGCTCAGTAGAAAAATAGGCAAAGGATATAAGCAGACAAGAAGGATACAAATTACCAATAAATGTAGACAGTTCAAACTCAACCTCAGAAAATGTTAATTAAATGCATATATATATATATGGCAAAGACTTAAAAAAAGACTTATTGGTGAAGAAGTAGTTTGGGGAGGCAGACGGCCTCTCTGCTGTCTGCCTGCTGCCCTCTTGCGGTGTATTCAATAAACTTCTAGCTCCTTAAAAAAAAAATTAGAAGAAATTGTGCACTCATTCTGTGGGTAGAATGGCACTTGGGCAAAATTTATTGAATTTTATGTTCCTAGCATTCTACCCTGTCATTCCTTTTTTTTTTTTTTTAAGATTTATTTATTTATTTGGGGGGGGCGGCAGAGGAAAAGAGTCCCAAGCAGGCTCCACGTCCAGCACAGAGCCCAAAGCAGGACTTGATCTCAAGACCCCAAGATCATGACCTGAGCTGAAACCAAGAGTCAGGCACCTAACTGACTGAGCCACCCAGGTGCCAGCCCCCCAGTGGTTCCATCTCAAGAAATTCATCCTACAGCAGTGTTTAATAAGTACATGAAGATATATATATATATATAGATATAGATATAGATATATATATTTAAAGATTTTATTTATTTATTTGACAGAGAAAGAGAGAGCACAAGTAGACAGAGTGGCAGGCAGAGGGAGAGGGAGAAGCAGACTCCCCTCTGAGCAGGGAGCCCGATGCGGGACTTGATCCCAGAACCCTGGAACCATGACCTGAGGCAAAGGCAGATGCTTAACGACTGAGCCACCCAGGGGCTCCCTACATGAAGATATAGTGACCAGCCCTTCATAGCAGCGCTCTTTCTCATATTCAAAGACTTTAAACATTCAAAATGCACGTTGGAAGACAATTGACTTTTACATAAGTTTGAGTGCAGACATACACTAGAAATTATGTAGCCATTAGAGTGAGGTCTAGGGGCGCCTGGGTAGCTCAGTCGTTAAACATCTGCCTTCAGCTCAGGTCCTGATCCCAGCGTCCTGGGATCGAGCCCCGCATCGGGCTCCCTGCTCAACGGGGAGCCTGCTGCTCCCTCTCCCACTCCTCCTGCTTGTGTTCCCTCTCTTGCTGTGTCTCTCTCTGTCAAATAAATAAATAAAAATCTTTAAATAATTAAAAAAAAGAATGTCCCATGGGGTGAGGGGAGGAATGTCCCACGAAATATTTGGGATATATTTATACTAAAAAATTGTTGTTTACCTGAAATTCAAATTTAACAGGGCATGCCTGCATTTTAACTGGCAACTCTACCCTGGAATGGGGCATTTTGGCTTAGATAGGAGCAGGCATTGCTTTTCAGGTAGAAGATTCTAGGGAGAACTATGCAAGTGTATTGGGGGCCACGATTAGGCTGGCTCGGTGGGTCAGTGTGTTCTCTGATGGGGGAGAGAGAGCAGCCATGCAGAGAGGCTTGACATGACTCTTTAAGGGGCTCAAACATGAGGGTCAGGAACTTTGCTTCTCATCCCATAACCATGGGGAGCTACTGAAGGATTTTGAACAAGGGAAAGAACCTAATAAAGGTACGCATTAAGAAATAAACTGCAGGGCGCCTGGGTGGCTCAGTTGGTTAAGCGACTGCCTTCGGCTCAGGTCATGATCCTGGAGTCCCGGGATCGAGTCCCGCATCAGGCTCCCTGCTCGGCGGGGAGCCTGCTTCTCCCTCTGACCCTCCCCCCTCTCGTGTGCTCTCTCTCTCTCATTCTCTCTGTCTCAAATAAATAAATAAAATCTTAAAAAAAAAAAAAGAAATAAACTGCAGTTGGGGATGGAAAGTTGCCGTGGTAAAAGGCTGACAGGTGGCAGGCAGGTGACAGGTTTGAAGGTGGACTTGCTTGAATGTGGGTGGGACCTGGAGTCACCCTGCTTTCTCTTTGCTTCTTCTTCACCTCAGGTTCACTGCATCAGCACCGAGTTCACTCCTCGGAAGAAAGGTGGGGAGAAGGGTGTCCCCTTCCGCCTCCAGATTGACACTTTCAAGCCCAGCGACAAGGACCTTCCACCTGAGCACCTGCACTCAGCGGGGTGCCTCATCAAGGTGTTCAAGGTACAGGCAGGCCCCTCCCCCTCCCCCTCAGGACTGTCACCCTGCTCGGCCCGCAGCCCCTTGTCTATGCACAGAGGGATGGGGCCTTGATCTCTTGCTTGGGGCCCCTTCTGTAGTGAGAAGGGGGCAGGTAAGGGGGGGGCGCTCTGAGCTGCCCTTGTCCCTCGCCTGTAGCCCAAAGGAGCTGACCGCAAGCTGAAAACAGACCGGGCGAAGCTGGAGAAACAGCCCCTGCGGGAGAGACACCAGTACCAGGCCGCCTGTGCGAGCACGGTGTTCGCCGAGGTGTGTGGCGGGGCGCCGCGCGCCGCAGAGCGGGTTTGGAGGAAGGGTCCTCGTTGCGCGTGCCGGGAAACTGAGGCCTGAGGGCCGTGGCTGCGGCAGGACCATCCCAATCCCCACTGATTCCGCCTGTTCCCTGCAAGGACAAAGCCGCACCGTGTGGTCAAGGCTCAGGCGCGAACGCCTTGCAGCCTCCCGGGCGGCCTCGCCCGCTCCCGCCATCGGCCGCCTCGCCGCGGCGCCCTCTGCCTGGAGCGTGGCCCTTCCTGCGGCCGCTTCTGGCTAGCGGCTCCTGGAAGCTTCCCCAGCTCCCCCCGCCAGCCCGGCGGGCTGGTTTACTCTCTTCCCTTGAGTGGCGTTTGGTCCACTCGTCCGGGCCTCCTAGGGCGGGGGCCAAGTGTGGCCCCGGGCGCCCCCCCCCGCCCCCCGTCAGCTCCCGCCCGACGGAGGCGAGGGAAGAGCCGCCCCTGGCCTCGGAGCGTGTAGGCGGAACCTTGCGGCTTGTTTGCCCCACAGTGTTCGCCGTGGCCGGACCCCAGGGCAGGGCCCTCCTCGCCGCTCAGCCCTCTTGCTCTGACGTCTCCCCACGGCTGCAAGCCCCTGTCCCCGGGGAGGTGAGGCGCGGTGGGCCCCGCTCGGGCCTCCGGGCTGAGCGCGAACAGAAGAGCCCCACAGCCCAGGCATCCGGGGAGGGGCGGGGTCGAGGGTGCGGCTGAGGGCAAGAGGCTCAGCTCTGTGGCCTTTGGGTAACCCGTGGGGCGGGGGGGGGGGACCCCAGCAAGCTCTGCCTCCCAGGGAAGGGGGGGTGGCGCTGGGGGCTGGCTGCACTGCCGACTCTCTGCTCCCCCGCAGGCTCTGCTCCTCCCCGCCGTTCGCCTTGGACACCTTGGGGGGCAGCCCCGCTGAGGTGCGTCTTGCCTTTCCAATCCCCCCACCTGTGTCTCAAAGCCTCCTCGGGGCTTCGGCGGCCTCTCCGGAATGGGGTGGCGCTGCCCCCTGCTGGACAGAGCTTGTATGGCCGCAGATGGCCAAACTGCTGAGAGGACTGGGCGATGAGCCTGCGGGCTCTCAGACGCGGGCCCGCCGAGGGCAGGGGGCTGTGTCTCTCCTACCCCGTTCTCAGTCCGTGCGCCCATGGTGACAACCTGGACTGTCCTCTTCGTGCCGCAGGATCTGAACCCTGGAGCCTCCATCCTAGAGACGCAGCAGTGGTTGCATCGGCACCAGTTCTCCAGCTACTGCCGGGTGCTGGCCAACTTCACTGGTGAGGCTGGGGTCCGGCAGGGACCTTACCTGTAGGGGGCTGAGGGCAGGACGCCTGCCTGTGGCCTGGCTTGCTGTGTGTTCTTCAGCTAACTTCTCTCTAGGACTGAGAGTTGCCAGGCACTATGCCTGCTTGGCTCTCTTCTCCTGTATCACCCCATATAATTTATATACTACCCATGCGGATGGGGCTCAGAGAGGTTAAATAACTTGCCCAAAGACACATAGCTAACAAGCAAGGGGCAGAACTGGGATTTGAATCCAAGTTTGATCCCCATGTCTGGACATGCTAGGGCGATTTGTAGACTAATGTTGGGTTGTATCCCTTGCCACCCTTGACCCCAGGCCTCTTCCCCCAATCGGGCCCTGTCTGACTCTGCAGGCACTGATCTGCTGAAGCTTACCCGCCAGGACCTTATCCAGATCTGCGGGGCTGCTGATGGGATCCGCCTTTTCAACGCTCTTAGAGCCAGGTGCCGCGCACTGCCAACCAGAATCCCTTTCCCTCTGTAGTGGCGTTTACCAACTTGGCTAATGGTTGTGTCTCATGGCATGTTCAAGCTGGAAGGTACCTTAAAGACCACTTAGTCCCATACCCTCTTTTTACAGAGGAAGAAACTGAGGCCCACGGACAGTGACCTCCCTGGGGTCACAGAGCAAAGATGGCAGGGATGGGCTAGAAAGTGAGGCTCCTGTGATCTTTTTCTGTAGCCATCCCACCCGCATCACTCCATTTCTGAGGACAGAGATGGATTTTTCTCATCTCTCCCTGCAGGGTCCAGCATTCATTAAATTTCTAAGAAATGAGTGGTGACCTCCCTCCCTGGAGACCTGGGAGGAGGCGGGATCCCTCCCAGGGAGGGGGCTGTTAATTTAGGTATGAAGTGTTGATAGGTAAACTGTTTTCCTGGCCCAGGCCCATTCGTCACCGGCGGACTTTGTATGTGGCTCGGGAGGCCTCTAGGCAAGAGAACGAGGTTCCTAAGAACCCTGACTCAGGTGAGGTTCTGGCCTCTCTCTCCGGGCGAGATTCAGGTGTGGCTGCGCGAAACCTCTTCCGGCCTGGGGAGAGGGTGATCCTCCATCATTCCTGGGACCCAGCATGCCTTCCTTGGCATTCCCGTCTTCCATGACCAGATCAGTCCTCTCCTTCCAAGATGTCCCCTGGGCTTACTCCTCCATGTTCTACTCCCCAAACCCATCTGACTTTGTCATTGTTGATACGTGGGATTAGAACATTATAATCATTGTATTTGGGTTTCAGTCATTTGCATGTAGGTGTCCCCCCTTTTTAAGTTGGGGGCTCCCCTCGGTCTGAGGCCTCCCCAAAGCTGAGGAATAGGTGAGGATTAAGTGGATTTATAAACCTTTTTGCTTCTTTACTCCTTCCTGCCCCCACTCCCCAAGAGGCTGTCACCTTGCCCTCTCCTTCTTCCTGGTCTCTGGGGCTCCCTCAGCTCCCCCCCCCCCCCCCCCCCCCCCCGCCGCACACATATACTGATCCCTGCCCTGTGCTGCCCACACCCCCAGGCTTTTATCAAGAGATCTTTCTAGATGAACTCAGTGCTGTTGAGCTGATGGGGAAACTGGCTGAGCTCTTGGCCCTCCCGGCCAATCAGATCCACTACCTCTTTCACCAAGGCCCTGGGGGCGTCCTAATTCTCCTCAGTGACCAGGTAGGTGAGCCCCGGCTCTTGCCAGGCCCCACAAGGGCCTTGATCCCTCTCCCACCTCAGGCCCCTCTCCCTGCCCTGGCTTCTTCCGTTTGGCTTTAAGAACAGCACTGTCTCAGTGACCCCTTCTCCCCTGCAGGTGGTTCAGAATCTTAAGGATGAATCATACTTTGTGGCTGTGGTGAAAAAAGGTAGGGGTTTTGGAGGGGAGAGAAGTGTATCTGGCAGGCCCTAGAAAGGGCAAGATTGTGTTTATATTGTCTCCTAAAATGAGATTAAAAGGTTCCTTGAAGGTGTGTGTATGCTGGGGGTGGGGCGGGGCCAGTGCTGCGTTCCAGTCAACTGGAAACATCTGAATGCCAGCTTTGTTGGTGTCAAAGGGACAGATGCACGCGGCTGCAGGGCAGCTATTTACCGCTCAGGGATAAAACGTCCCAGTGTCTGGGTCAGGGAATTTAATAGAGGGGAAAGTAAGGCCCCCTCTCTCTTCTGCCCCACTCCCACCATCCTACAATGCAGAAGATGCTTGCTGGACATCCCCTGGCACAGAGCGCCTCTGGCCACTTGGCTTATGGTGCTGGTTATTCAGATGCGTGCCCTCTATCCCTCCTACAGGACAGAGGGAGGCTTCCTCGAGTTGGGGTAGGAGGAACACTGGGGGGTGGCAGGCGCACTCCCCGCTGCTTGGTTTGGGAGCAGCACAGAAGTGGTGCTCGGCTTGTCTCATCCCAGTGGTGCCCTTTTCATTGCTTCCAGTGCAGAATCCAGATGGCTACTACCTGGTTCTCACCTAGGCCCAGGGACATCCTGCTGCAAGAGTAGGAGACTGATGCCAGCCTGGTTCTCGGGGGCCCCACGTTCACCAGAAGCCTTGCTTAAATCCTCAGCTGCTTCATCCGGCTCTGGGTGAAGCGGGATGTCCTACCCCTAGAGAGGAGGGGAGCAGCCCCCAGGCTCCCATCTCTCTGCTCATTTGATGGAACCTGGGCACAGCCTCCCAAGCTCAAGCTCATGCCTGAGAGGCATGGAACCTGCCAATATGGATAAGGCGCCTTTGCCCCAAGCAGTGCTGCCTGAACACTGGGCGCATTGATTCACGTTTATTTAAAATTGTATTCACCCTTTCCTTTCCTTAATATTAATAGTTAATTCTAAAAGGCATATATATTTAATATGTTGTTCAATGCTTGTTCAATTTCCTTGGTGTTTTGGTCCTCTTGGGGAAATGTTTTCTCCTTACTTAAACTATAGACTAGGGCAAAGCATGGAGTCTGAGACAGAGGAATAAATAAATCTGGATGGATTTTTTTTTTTTCCCAACTAGTTTGGGCAAAAACTAATCACTAAAGCCTCTAAAAGACCATTCAACTATCAAATCACTGTGCTTATTTAAAACTTCTAGAGATGTAGGGTACCTGGGTGGTTCAGTCAGTTAAGGGTCTGCCTTCTGCTCAGGTCATGATCCTGGGGTCCCTGGATGGAGCCCATGTCAGGCTTCCTGCTCAGCAGGGAGTCTGCTTCTCTTTCTCCCTCTGCCCCTCCCCCGGCTCTCTCTCTCTCTCTCTCTCAAATAAATAAATAAAATCTTAAAAAAAAAATCCTGGGGCACCTGGGTGGCTCAGTCATTAAGCGTCTGCCTTCGGCTCAGGTCATGATCCCAGGGTCCTGGGATCGAGTTCCGTATCGGGCTCCTTGCTCAGCGGGGAGCCTGCTTCTCCCTCACCCACTCCCCCTGCTTGTGTTCCCTCTCTTGCTGTGTCTCTGTCAAATAAATTAATAAAATCTTAAAAAAAAAAAAATCCTTTTTGTTTTTTTAAAGGAATGAAGGGAATAGAAAACTCTTCAGGGTAGGGAATTTTATTTATGAGCAGGGAGTCTGACGTGGAGCTTGATCCCAGGACCCTGGGATCATGACCTGAGCCAAAAGCAGACACTTAACTGACTGAGCCACCCAGGTGCCCCTAAAAAATAAAACGTTAAAAAAAAAAAAATGGTGGGGCATCTGGGTGGCTCAGTCGTTGGGCGTCTGCCTTTGGCTCAGGTCATGATCCCAGGGTCCTGGGATCAGGCCCCACATCGGGCTCCCTGCTCGGTGGGAGGCCTTCTTTTCCCTCTCCCACTCCCCCTGCTTGTGTTCCCTCTCTCGCTGTGCCTCTGTCAAATAAATAAAGTCTTTAATTAAAAAAAAAATGGCAATGAGCTGTATCTTATTCTGCTCATTTTTAAAAAAGATTTGAGAGAGCGTGCGTGTGCACATGCGTGAGAGTGGGGGCGGGGGGCAGGGAGAGAGTCCTAAGCAGACTCCTCGCTGACCCCAGCTCAGGGCTCCATCTCATGTCCATGAAATCACGACCTGAGCCGAAACCAAGAGCCTGACGCTCAAACGACGCTCAACTAACTGAATGAGCCTCCAACTCTTGATTTTGACTCGGGGGTCATGATTTCAGGGTTGTGAGACTGAGCCCCATGTTGGCGCTCTGCACTCAGCACTCAATCAGGAGTCTGTTGGAGATCTTCTCTCTCCAAAAAAAAAAAAAAAAAATTAATAACTAAAATAAATCTTTAAGAAATTTCAAACACTGAAAAGAGAAAACCCATATGCATGGAGTGGAAGACAGGCCAATGTGCCCTCTTAAAAATATCTGCTTAATTCCTTATTGATCATTTACCTCAGTTATTACTGAGGGGGCCTATAATTCCACAGGGCTCCCCAAGGGTGTTTCACAACAGGGCAGATAACTTGAGATTGAAATTCAGCTTGCTGACTTGGCTCCACTGCTCATTTCCATCAAAAGGACAGGGACCCCACTGCATTAACTTTTGTGTATCTCTCAACCTAGGAGCCTCTAGCACAGACTAGATCCTGAAATATCTGTTGACACGAAGGGAATAAAAGCAGGTAACAAGTATCTGCCATGTGTCATTGTTATCTTTTTTAATCTTCACACTCTAAAGCAGGTACTGTTATCCCCGCTCTACCAATGAGGAACGGAGATGGAAGGGTCAACTGGCTGAGGTCGTTCGGGTGGAAGTCAGGCACTCCGGCTTGGAGCCTGTTTAACTATTACACTTCTCCATCATCATTCCTTCCTAGTCAAGGTGAGGGCAATGCTCTGCACAGAGAGGGGACTCAGGTTGAACTGCTGCTGTCAAATGAATTAAAACAAAGGTTTTTTAGAAACTCTGACTTATATCACGTCTTCAGAGGCAGGTGGAGTTCAGGGTATTAACGGCTCTTAAAAAGGTATTAAGCCTATTAATAAATAAAGGGTATCAATCAAAGAATACTAAACAAATACAAGGATGCCAAAAAGAAGCCCCTTCATTCAGCCTCGGGAGCCTTTGCAGTTCCAGAGTTCAAGGAAGTTAAGAATCACAGCTCCGAGTCAGGCTATTTCCCCGGCAAAATGAGAAGTCTTCACAGCTTATTTCCTTTAATTACATCATAAGACAAAATTAGAACATACAGGAAACAGTAATAGTTACATAACAATTTACTTTATATATTTATATATAAAAAACATTTTTCTTTTAGTCCAAAGATTTTAAAGCAAAAGGAATCCTCTACTGCCACCTTGGATTTTATTTTAAATAACCCTCCCTCCCCCCATCCTCAAGCGCCAAAAGTATTGGGTGGAAGCAGTCACTTAGACAGCTAATGGAGCCTGGTGTTCAGTCACCGAGTCGGGGACCGGGTCAGCCCAGGGAGCGGCTGAGCGCGGGGGGCAGGCCTGGTGGAGAAACAAGTCAGCGGCAGCTCCCGCACACTGAAGCACTCCGGGGCAGGCCGAATGGCTGCAGGAGGCTGAGGCCACAGCAAGGTTTGGGATCAGACCCTGCCAGTCAACCATCCTCTGCCTTCTGTTCCCTCAGGGGGAGAGGGGTCCGAGGGGGTTAGTGCAGGGATGGAACAGCCTGGTTTGAAGGTAAAAATTTCTCCCGCAGCACCATTTGCCCACCCATCTCCATCCTCGGGCAGAGTCTGACAGGCAGGGGTGGTCCTCCCAGCTGAGCTCCGCACAGATCTGTGCTCTCAGGGTCACGGGAAGGTGGGCAAGGCTGAGGAGAGCAGCCGGAAACTGCCTGAGGCAAGTTACCTGGAAGCAATTCCTGGTAGGAAAAAGGAGGCAGCCAGGGTGGGAGGCAGCTGAAGGCTGAGTCATTAAACAGGAATGGAAGAAGGCAAAAGGCAGAAGAGGACTTTCTCCCCCGGGCCGATCACCCGGCCGTAACCCTTCCAAGCCTTCAGACGGGGCAGTCACAGATCCTCAGGGGCCGGCTGCGAGAGCAGAGCCACGGCAGGGGGAGAAAAGACCCCCCACGCAGCTCCTGAGCCCCCCGCCCCACGGAGCTTACGTGTGTTAGAGGTTAGCATGGAGTTTGGGGGTAGGGTGAGGAGGGGAGTAAGAGAAGAAATCTCAGGCTCACCTCCTTCCTGCACTTATTAGAAAGTAACAGTCATCAGAGAAGCACAGGTAAGATTCTTAAGGGCAGGAAAAAACATGTAAACCCAGAAAAGCAGCAGCAAAGGTTTCACTTTTTACAGGTCTATTATATAGCTCTAGGAAAGAAAATCATTCAAGTCTTTGGGGGGGTGTGTGTGGGGGGGTAAAGTAATTAATCAAACCATGCCAGTTAGAGACTCCTTTTTCAAGTTAGGATTTTCTAAGACTTTCGGTTGTCGTTCACTAGTGCCATAAGAAAAAAAAAGGAAGAAAGAAAGAAAGAAAAACAACACAGAAATAATGACTTCAGGGGCTGAGAAGGGTTAGGCTAAGGTAAGAAACACATGTGTGTGAGCAGCAGTGAGACAGATTTGAATTAGTGAAAATAAGCAGTAAGCAACAGTGACAAGCGGAACTTCGTCGTGGGGCAAAGATTTCTTCTTCCACTTCAATAAATAAGACATTACTTCAAAGATTTCCCTGGGTTCTTGGGGTGTGGCAGAAGAGAAAAGGTATGTGTCTGGACACCTCTCCTCTCCCATCTCTTCTTGGGGTGGGGATTCTCATTCACTGCCTACCTGCTCCTGCCCTGGGTGGGGGGAGCCACACCCAGAAGCACTGGGGGTTCTTCGGGGGGTGCCAATCCCCATCTGGGTGACTGGTCGGGTGCGTGGTAGGCAGAAGCCCTCCGTGCCGGTGAGAAGGGCATGGAGTTCACGGGATGCAGAGGAAAGCAAATCTACTCACATGCGTGAGGCAGGTGTTTCTATATATTCGGGACAGATGCTTGTACCTGAAGCAAAGTGCCCCAGTTCCAGAGCCGATTCTCTCCTTTACTTTCAATCTCATTACCATTTCCCCACCCCAATTCTTCAAAACAAGACACTGAAAAACACAGAAAATAAGAGTCCATTGACACAGTTCTGGTTGCTCATGTTTCTTTTTCCTAAAAGGGCAGTGAGACACCTTGGCTGAGGAGGTACTCAACACCTGCGAACCAGACTCCACCGGGGGCTTACTCAAAAACGCATGAGGCAGAGATGGAAGAAGCACATTATGGAATTTCTCTTAATATCCCACATGTGAGCTTACCCAAGACATTTTTTTTTTTTCCTGCTGAAAATTAAGTGTAATTCTGTTGGGCTCCAAAGATTCACTCAGACTCAGCTGAGAGGTTCTTATGGACTCTCCTAAGGGTCAAAGCCTTCAGAGATGCAGATCTGATGTTCCTAAGAATAAAAATGGACAAAGAGAGAGACTTGCCTTGTGAGGGGGAGCTGCAGAAGCCCTTCATGCAGAAAAAGCACTTGCCTCAAATGGTAGTTTCTGGCAAGTAGAGTTTGTCTCAAGTGAGAGGGCAAGCTTAGAGCAGCATGTTCTTTGCTGGAGAACCAAGCTGTTCAGTTAGGGCACCTGGATATAGCAAATAGAGCCAAATGTTATTCCCAAATTACCTGGGTTAATTATAGCCAACCGACATGGTATTATATAGTTTTCTGTATCTTCCAATATTACAATTAAAGTTTATGATAGAAATAAAGGTGACGAGAAGCTTAGACTCCATATTTCCCCTCACCCTCCTACTACTTTAGGGTTCTTTGGTCCAAGATCATTGTAAAGGGGAGGGTTTGCCTCAAGACCTCCAACCAAACGTCCTCCCCCTCGTCTCAAACAAGTCTCAGCTCATTCACACTGCCTGGGTTTGAGGTGGTTAAAGATCCTCGAACTGGTGGACACATAAGAAGGCAATCTTAAAAAAAAAAAAAAGTTCCGGAAGCTCAAAGAATACCACTGAAAGTCCCTCAGCCAGGATGCACAATGGGGATGGAAACCTAATCTTAGACCATGCACACAAGGAGGGAAAGGCAGAACAGACCCATTTCCTTTAAGCCCCTCCTCTCACACTGGTAGCACCTGTCATAAGAAGCCTGTGACTTTCAGCACAATAAACATTAAATGGCCAAGGGTCAACCACGATCCACAAGTGTTCCTCTTCTTCAAAACCACAGTTCCCTGAACATACGCTGTCCACACAGGCAGGCAGGCAGCCCCGTCTTCCTTCCGGTGCCACTCTCACACTTCCCTACAACTTCAGACCAGGACAAGTTCCCGCGTACCCTGTTTACCCCCCACGGCATGAGTGGGCCATCAAACCGGTAACAAAGCATTTTACAAGGCAATTAGGAGAAATAAAGAACCCGACTGCTGTAGCATTAGAGCTGTACTCAACAGTTCAAATGGTTTGGAAAGCCCAAAATAAAGCATCATAAAAATATTTGCCAGGTGTCCCTCTAAAATATGTGCTGTAAAGAAAATGTAAAATTTCTGACTTATAGGTCTGCTACATCAACTTAATGGATGTGGAAATTTACAAAAATCATTTAAGAAATATTCTTACATATCCAACAGCGTGATTTCAAATTTGGTAAGCAAACGTCCAAGACCACCCGGTGATAAATGGCCTGAACCACACAACAGTTACTGTATTCAAGGCTGCCCAGAGACTTTGCTTAGATCAGGACAAGGACCCAAAAAGGAAGCTAGATTGGAGACGTTGAGAATAAATCAGCAGCATCATTGGGAGTGAGACGGAGGCTTTAAATAGAAGACAAGAATGAGTACAGGAAGAAAATGGGAGCAGTCCAAAAAAAAAAAAAAGAAGAAGCTGGGATCACCTTGATGGAGCCAGTATAGAGGCCAGAAAAGATACTGATGTAGCAAATGATGCTGGAAAATGTAGGGGGAAAGGCTGCTTGGAAAAGAGGTGATCTGGATGTTTAATAACGTTCTCCACAGACATAGCAATAACCCCTTCTGGCTACCTGCAGGTCTAGGCAATAGCTCTGAGGGTACCTTCTGACTTATCCCGAATCTCTCCATTCACTTTGTATTTCTTCATCACAGAAGGCGTAGAGGGCCGGGGCTCTGGAGTCAGACAAATGGGCCAAGAAGCCTTTCCTAAACTCTGAAGCCTTACTGTATTTTCAAAAGTATCCCTGATATTAAGACAGGATGGCGGGGCCCTTTCCACCTGACCAAAACTTACCATGTTCTGGGTTCTTAAATTCCCGGTACATTTCATCAGCTAGTGTAGGTTGCAGATTGGCATAAAAAATCTATTTCCTTCCAAGCTTGATGGGCCTGCCTGAAGCTTTCTTGCGAAAGGAGCAAGGCCTGACCACATACAAGCACAGTGCTCACACTCCTTTTTTCTCTCACTGGACTGTGCTCTTGGCCCAGACAGGTAGGGATCACTTGAGCAAGTCCACAGGGCCCTGCACGTGGGTCCACTCTTTGAGTTGAGAAACGGCATTTCCAAGATGTTCATGTCCTGGTGAATAGGGTCTTTTACATTTATGTACTTTTTAAGTAAAGAAGTACCTTAATGTCCTCAACTGGTGGGCAATTTAAACCCATACTCACTAATCAATCAGGGTTTTATAGTCAATTTGTTCATGCAATACTAAAAAAGCCTTAATATGTTAGAGCAGATGGCCCCTAAATATTCCTCTTTTTACTTTTGTTTGAATGAGTGACCTGGGGATCTGAATATTAACCACATCTGGAAGAGTGTGCAAGTGTGTATATTTGTATGTGTGGGGTATAACCAGGAGAGTGAGTCTCACTTTAAAAGGTATATCCTTATGCCAACTATACTCAAATAAAAATGAAATTTAAGTATATTCTTCACATGGTAATTTGAAAAGAGGTTAAGGGGAAGGGGGAATGAAAACTAAAAGTAATTTGAGCGTTTAAAATAAATTTAACATGCAAAATAATGGTGGACAGTACAGATTTCTAGTGTCCTTTCCTCGAACTGCTTGTGGAGAACTAAGTCATGCTTTATGAAGAGCCAGCACCTGCAGCATTACAACAAGCCTTTTAACAGCCTGGATCATGCAGAAGATGATCTAAGATCACGGCAGACTGCACAATAATGTCCTAAAAGACCAAAAGGAAAAAAAAAAGGTGTCCTATTAAAAACCACATAAGGTTTCTAACTTTGGGGTTTAGAAATCTACTTCTTATACTTTAGAAGCTCATTTTAGTTCCCTCATCCTTTATGACTTTTGGGGGGAAGGAAGGAAGCCTCTTCTTTGCCTCTGAGTCATGGGCACTGAATACTTGCCTTCAGTTCTGCTGACCATGCTGGGCAGAGAGAGTGAACCCCCTGCTTCCTCTCAAAGTCTTCACCTGGTTACCCCTGTATTTCATTCATGGGAAGTCCGGAGCATAAGAAAGATAGGGTTGATAGGTTTTGAAATGGTCTGGTCCTTTGAGGTGCCAACATTCGAGATACATCACCAACACTGACATACAGCTGACCACCTGTTCTAGGATCATTCTGATATCCCTGATAGGCTGGAAAGGGAGTGGGGGGGTGGGGGGTGGGAGAGAAACTGACCAGCTAGATGGCACAGCAACTCTAGCAGCACCCCTACTAAAACAAAACAACCTCACAGACACAAATCAGGGATGCTACTGCTCACACCTAGATTTCAGTGAACACCCGACATGTCTGAGCTTGGGTGGGGGGTGCTTTTGGGCTCAGTTTTGGGATTCGCCATTCCACTCTTTACTAATAATGCATTTCTCTCTCCTTATTAAGTTAGTGGAGTCTGACGGGAAGAAAAATGTGCAGGGAGAACATTGTGCATATCATGCGTATTATTATATATCACAAGGTATAACAGAAACCAAAAGGCAAAGTTTGTTTTCGTCAAAATAATTTTAACTCAATTTCTTCTCATACCATTTCTTGGTTTTGTGATAGTTTCCCTTCAGACTGGCAAAGATTCAGGCAGGGTCCCCTAATGGTAAAATTTAGAATTAAAAAAATATTTATTGATAATGTCTCTTTCAAAAATGTTTGGTAACCCCAACTAATCATCCAAAATGCACACTGTAAACACAATGGCAAAAGAGTAACAATTGAGTGTGAGTAAGCAGACAATGAACAGGTGACAGACTGAGCAAGAGTGCGGGAGGGAGCAACAGAGAACGAAAGACAGGTGCACAAGTGTGCTACAGAGAGTGACAATTTGAGTGAGTAAGTAATCACATTTGGACCACAGCGATTTCAGTGCAACCTTTTAGGAAACCTCTGGGCCAAATACTAAAAAACACAGGAGGAGGAATGGATGAGCCTTCTTTGGGAGCATGCTCAGCATGTTGGCATGGGAACAAGGAAGCACAGAAGCTCTGTAGTCATCTCATGAGGGATGGCTACCATTTATAGGATGCAAAGAATTTTTCTTTCTGGTCCCTGGATACAACATATATTGTTTTTCTATGCTTTCCTTGACCCTGGAGGACTGCAGTTGCTGTTCCAAAATCACCAAAGAAACCCCTTCAAAAAATGAAGAAACGGCAGGAGCAGTAACACTGCATTTGCTGGAATGCCCCCTTCCCTCCACCTTGCCTATGATTTTCTTCTTGGCATGTCCAACAGGAATGGTTAAGTTTTACCAATCCACTTGATAAAGCCAGCGTGGGCTTCAGTCCCCTGGTCATAGAACTAGAGTGGGTGGGGGTGAGGGTGGGTTTGCATGTTATATGTGGCTCTGGGGATCTGGACGCTGCCCTCACTTTGTAACCCTTGCCCAGAACACTGGGGTTGCTTCCATTGGAGACTCCACTGTAACTCTAGAAGTATCATTAAATACTCAGTTCACCAAGGTTGACCACCTCCATTGTCATAGGATGATGCAGCATCTGCAGAATCGCTGTCTGCTGCCCCCTACTGATGGGGGTGGAGTGACAGGTGCGAAGTAGGCGTGGACTTTAATATTGGGCAAATGGGTCTGAAACAAGACAGAAACATTACTAAGAGAGGGCTAAAACAGAAAGAGCAACATTGCTTTTCAGAAAAAACACAGGGGCTGAGTGAACATGAAAGCAAGGCAGAGGCTGAGTACCGGTCAGGATGTTGAGAGACCTGGGTTCTGCTTTGTAGTATTCCAGGCTATTCTAAATGACTAAATAGCTCACATAACTTTGGTATCTGCTTTTTAATAATAAAACTGAGGGAAAACGTCATACTAATCTCTTAACCCGTCCCAAAGGGATTGCTAGTTGGATTCCCAAAGTTGAAAGAAACTATACAAGCTTAAAATAATTTTTTCCAAGTCACTGTGGACAACGTTTCTTCTGATATTTTCTTAAAAACCTCATTATCCACTTTTAAAACATACTGCTAGCTTTTAGTACATAAATGGTTTCTGGATTCCTACCACACTCAAGGCACTGTGCTAGTTACATAGGGGGTACAAAGATGGTCAACACAGAAACCCTGCTCTTAGGGAATTTAACAGTCTAGACCTAAATAGCTAAATTAAAACAAAAAAATGTTAAGTGATGATTTGAGAACAGATAAAAAGTCTTGAGGACTCAGAGATGGAGAGATTCTGGACAACCAAGGAGGTCTAGGACCCCTACTGCAAGGAGGCCATAGAAGAGGCTCTGGTTGGCCTGTGGCTGTCTTTTGGTGTAGAAGGAATATGGCTGCAAGGCTTCCCCACTGCAGTTATGCTCTCAGTCCTCTAGGTCAGAAGGGAGAGGAGGAACTAAGGCCAACTGGAACTCAAGATGAGGTTTGGTGCTCCTTTATGCACTCAGATGCCATATGGCCAACATGGATGTTTTCAGACACTGGTTGTAAGGGCCTAACTAAGCACAGTGCCTTTCCCACAGCAGGTGTGAAGCAGATGTTCCAATAAATGTCTGTTGAGCTGAATAACCTAACATAGATTCATCCATCCTTTTATAACCTCCTTGCTGGCAACCTGTCTTCCAGTCATTTGACTATGCATGGGTCTCTTTAGTATGGAGAATGGGGCTAAAAGGTAAAAACAAAACAAAACAAAAAAACCCAAACAAAAAAAAAACCCTACTTAATAAAAAATAAGAACCCCAGCAAAAGGGTTTGATGTGAAAGGAAATACAAATTAAAGTCTTAAATCCCACTTAACTAAGTATTTTCTTTATGTTCTTTCTTTCTTTCCTGAATCTGGCATGTGTGTTTGACTCTGGGCATGTTATTAAGCCCTGGACATTACAGGAGAGACTCTGCTGGGAGGAGACCTACTTTCTTTCCCTCAGTGGGTATTTTCTCACTAAATTCCCATCTGGAACAACAGGTAAAAACTACCCTTAGGTTTGCTCTCCATTTTTTTTCCTCTTTGCTGAATGTCCAAGTAAATATAAAAATCACAGAAATCTAAATCTGAAACAAAAACAAACACAAACAAACAAAAAGGAAATGGAGGAGGGAAAAAAAAGAAAGAAGAAAAGGTGCCGAGAGCACCAGAGCTGGGGAGTGCGCAGCCGTCTTTACCCTGAGTCTCTTGATCCCAGCCCGTGTGATTTGCTGGCAGTCATAGAGTTCTATCCGCTCGAGGCTGTGACAACTCTTCAAGTGCTCCAGGGAAGCATCTGTGATTAGTGGGCAGTTGTCCAGTTCAATCACCTCCAGCTGGTCATGGGCGCAGGCCCCATTCCCCAGGTGACGAATTCCATCGTCTGTGATCAGCTCACAGTGAGACAGACTCTGCAGCCAAGTAGAGCAAGGAGGACACTGAGACATCTCACGGCATTCTTCTAGCCCCTGGCCTGTGCACAGCCAGAAAGGACATCTTCTGGATTAGATTGTGATGTATATGGAGCCATCACCAGATCCATGTGGTGAAACGAAGAAGAGCAAACTAGAGTTCCTGGGGTTCTGCTTTTGAGTATCAATGACTGACGTTTCTGTGTGTGATTCTTTTTTGGGGAGGGGAGGAGGGGCAGAGGGAGAGAAAGTATCTTAAGCAGGCTCCATGCCCAGCATGGGGCTCAATCTCACAACTCTGAGATCATGACCTGAGCCAAAATTAAGAGTTGGACGCTTAACCGACTGAGCCACCCAGGTGTCCTTCTGTTATGATTCTAAATATACCTTGTGAATTCATGCAATGACTTTTAGTTCATGAACAAAACATGATACCCACCCCCACATACAAATTAGCACTTTTCTACTGGGACAAGAGGGGCTCAAGGTTTTCTTGAACAAAACTTTCTGGAATTTGGACTAAATACTGAATACCTGGTATAGGAGAATGTCAATACAGTTAACTAACTGAAGATGATTCATACACTTGTCAGGTGTGGTCATCTCTTCACACAAATCCCTTTATCAATTTTCCATAAATCCCTGGTTCCTCCACGTGAAACTCAGAACCCCTTGTCCCAATTCTGGACAGTAACATACCAAATACACACAAAAAATGAGCCTGGACACAAAATAGTTAAGCAGAATGCTTTCCCACAGTGTTACTGGAAACAGTAGCAGAGAACACCCCTAGTAAAGCCTTGATTAGTTCTGTTTTACAGGATCATTTAGTCACAGCAAGGTGAAGCAAATTTTATTTGGGGCCATCTTGTCTCCTGGATCTCTGAAATTTAAACATCATTCAGGATGAAGTGTAATTCATGTGGGAGGGAGAACTCATACGCTCCATGTCACTTTTCTACCTCCTAGTATTGATACATAATCCCTTGGTCCTCTATAAATTGGTAATTTATAGAAATATACTTTTCCCAAATGGAAGCCAGACACCAAGAAGAAAGTAAGAGCTGGGTTTTGATTAAATCCAATGAACACATAAAACTTTTAAAAAGTCAAACTTACCAATACTTGAAGTCGAGGACAGTGTATAGAAAGTTGGATTAACGTGCTATCTGTTATCTGAAAGAAACACATAAATTTATTATACGTATAATTCCAAAAAAGCTTCATGGCTGTACCTCATTCTTTTTTTTTTTTTTTTAAAGATTTTATTTATTTATTTGACAGAGAGAGACACAGTGAGAGAGGGAACACAAGCAGGGGAAGTGGGAGAGGGAGAAGCAGGCCTCCCACCGAGCAGGGAGCCCGATGCGGGGCTCGATCCCAGGACCCTGGGATCATGACCTGAGCCGAAGGCAGACGCTTAACAACTGAGCCACCCAGGCGCCCCAGCTGTACCTCATTCTTGAGTACACTTGTATTCTAAACTGATATCCTGATATTAATCATAAAATAACAGAATCTTAAGACTGAAATCCCATTGGCTACTTGAACCTGTTCTTTGAACACGTCTAGTCATCTGTAGTCTTCATCTTTGAACAGGTCTGTTGAAAGTTCTCTTTTGTTTTTGAAATGAATGAAAATCTGTCCCTTTGTAACTTCTACCCACTGGACTTTAGCTCCCTAGAACCACCACAGAAAAGAATCAGAAGATGCTGCTCCATGTGAAAAACGCTGCTCAAATGTGAAAAAAAAATTAATGTGAAAATACCCTCAAATTTTAAGTATATTTGGCCTATATTTTATAAGCCATGCCATAACTCTGATTTGGTATCTTGGGTGTCAGGTATTTTCCCGAAGGTGACAGAAAAGGCACTGCTGGAATCTGGGTTAACTATGAACATTAAAGAAGGAGGAACTCTTGAAGGAAGAACAGTCTTTTATAGTTATCTTAGGCTGGAAAGTAAATCAGTGCTTCTTTTCAAATGCTCCTCCAACTCTGAAATGATGATGATGCCTATAACATACATAGCTTCACAGGGGCTAAGAAATGGTGGGGGATGGAAGGTTGGGGAGGGAAGGTGTGTGCACATCATTGAGAGGGAGTAACATTGGAGAGGACACACAGGACACTCAGGCATACGCAAGAGGTAGATGGATGTGAACAGTTTTAGTTTATTATTATTTTTTAAAGGTTTTATTTATTTATTCATGAGAGACAGAGAGAGAGGTGCAGAGGCAGAGGGAGAAGCAGGCTCCCCAAGGAGCAGGGAGCCAGATGCGGGACTTGATCCCGGGATCCCGGGATCAAGACCTGAGCCGAAGGCAGACGCTCAACCATCTGAACCAACCAGGTGCCCCAAGTTTTAGTTTAGTAAGAATAGTTGCTAAAGAGTGTCTGGATAACAAGTAATTCAGAAAAAATTGACCCCTACAGTTACTAGAAGTTATCTTTATTTTTACCATTAAAAAATTTTTATTAATCTATCTTCTTTTTAGGAGTCCCCCTTCAAAATTTCTCTCTGATCAACTAGTAATCTTAAAGCTCTTATAACTGGTAATAAAAGAATTGCTGTTAAGGCAGTATTTGGTCAGTCTGTCTGTCTGTCCAAAAGGCAGAGTTGGATCTCCAGGGCTAATGATGTAAGGAGTCCACGGTCTCATTAAACTTAAAAAAAAAAAAAAGGGCAGTGCTATATTGTCCATGTGATGGGGCTTTAATTATTTACTAGTATTATAATCCTGTAGGTTTAAGGAAACATTTTAACATCTTTATGGCCTGAATGCTTGGGCCTTCTTTCTTTCCACTGGTAAGAAAGTGGAAATGTATTTTCCTAGTTCCTTACCACGTATACTGTGCACTTCTGCCTGGGATGCCTGGAGGACACCTCAATAAAGGAAGAATCAGCAGTGCTGCCAGGCACTACATGACATTAGAGTAGGGAACTGAATGTTTTGATGTGCATGTATTATGTAAGTTTCTTTTTCTTTTTTGTAAGTTTCTATCATACTGTATTTCTTTTTTTTTTAAGATTTATTTATTTTACGGGGGAGGGGCAAAGGGGGGTGGGTGAGGGAGAGAATCTCAAGCAGACTCCCCGCTGAGCTTGATCCCACGACTCTGCAAGCTGAAACCTCTGCAAGCTGAAACCGGGGGGTATAGCTCAGTGGTAGAGCATTTGACTGCAAGCTGAAACCAAGCCCAACCAACTGAACCACCCCAGGCGCCCCTATGATTCTGTATTTCTGAGTAAAGATCCACACTCTTACCTGAACACACTCTTCTAAGTCCATTTTTTCAAGCTCATGGCAATTCTACAGGATACAAAACCAAACATTATAACACGAACATTTAAAACATGGGAAAATTTAAAGCCAGAAAACTAAGAAGTAGTATTAAATACACTGACAAAATCTTCTGTCATTCTAACGTCACTTTCTGCCTTCATTAATCATACATTTTAAAAGACCTTGATCACAGTGGAAATTTCTCAATTATTCTACATTTGAAGTATCTAACATCTTGTAAGCCCAAGGGAATAAATGTTCTGAACACTAATACCAAGATAATACAGATCATGCCAACCATAAATAATTTAATGAAAATGATTTTTTTTTTTTTAAGATTTTATTTATTTATTCATGAGAGAGAGAGAGAGGCAGAGGGAGAAGCATCGGGAGCCCAATGCGGGACTCGATCCCAGGACCCTGGGATCATGACCTGAGCCGAAGGCAGACGCTTGACCATCTGAGCCACCCAGGCGCCCCATGAAAATGATTTCTTTGGAGGAATGGAAGGTAAGCTTTGTGTCCTCACTGAGTTATGCCATGCACTGCCCCCCCCAACCCATTAGTCTTCCATCAATCTGCCTGAAAGCAAATGTTCCTCCCCATATTCCATTACATACTAGTTAAAGACAGTATAATTTTAAATACTACTATTATACAGTGATTTATAAACCATTCCAAGTATTTATTCTGGAGAACACAAAAAAATCTCTTAAACCGTCTCCATTTAAAATCAGGCCCATATGTTTCCTTCAATGTTACTCTCACCCACCAGTCACATACTGAACAACCAAGAAAGTTTTTTCACAAAGCACTAGGAAGGCCCTCCCTAGTTTACCATCAGTGAAAACGTGGCAAATCAAGTCTAAAGAAGGAGCATCATGTTCTCCAATGCATGTCTGTGTTTCCAGAGCAGTCTATGTTCTATGGGCCTGCAGCTGCAGCACGAGAATGTTCAGGCCCACCAGCCACAAGAAGTGCCCTCACACCCCACACCCTCCATTCTGCCGCCATTCCACTTTTCCCTCAGTGCTCACTCTTCTGGAAAAAAAAAAAAAAAAATCCAAACCAAACCTACAGAACCTGGAGAAAATACTTACCCTGGCCAGAGTGGTAAAGCCTACATCTGTTAATTGAGAACATCTTGCCACTTCTAATATTCTGTTAAAAAAAAAGCAAAGTGAAAGTCAAGCCCCTTGGTTCCCTGAAAACTGGGTTTATTAGAACAGCAAGAATTTAAGAAAATAACCTCCCATTCCCTAAGCACTGCATCATATAGTGACATAAACAGCTAAGCAAGTCTGTATACAGATCTTGCCATTCATTTTCATGGAGTCATTATAAAGCGGTCCTGTAAATACCACCACATTTCAGGGTGATGCAATCAGAAGAATGTAATAGAAGCTTGTAGTTAATGCCAAAATGCATGAAAAATGCATTTAAAAAGCCTTGATGGCATACTGCTTACCCCCAGAGGGCAGCCTGCTCCTAGAAAACAAAGGAAATGGCGCTAAATACTCTGTTTCAATTAATCTGTTGCTCAAGAAAATTATTCTCTTTCCCTATTTTACATGAAGGCTCACTCAGATTTAAATAGCTTTTAAAAATGCTATGAAGGGACTGATTAATTACAGGCCTGTCCCAAGTATGAAATTCCATACTTATGAAAAAATGCCCTTAAGCTTCCTGCCTCCTCCCACAGGCTCCCAGGGAGGCCCAGTGCAGAGTGGGGCTGAGCTGGCAGCCACTCTCCTACTCAGGAACTGCTAAACACTAACCGAAATACTAAAACCACAGGACAGGGGACTCAAAGGTAGCTCTTTTCTGTGAAAAGTTTGGCGGCATCTGCACAACAGTACCAAATAACATCTTTATGTTTGCTTACAAATTACTTACTACATGAGTTGAAACAAATAAAGCTACAGTAAAATAAATCATTATCAACTACCAATTAATTAGAAAAATTTCTAATGGAAAAGCATGATCTGACTGAACCTAACTTTTGATTATCATATTTGAGAGCCTTTCTGTTTGGACAATAAGATAAACCATGAAGGAGTAAGGAGCCGAACACTCGCTTTAAAAGAGAAAAAGGTAACGCATAGTATTTTTAGGGAGGAGTCCGGCTACCTCCTAAGCCCCAGGCCTCTGATATTATTAAGTTTGACCAAGTTTATGATCTATCAAGGAATTCTGATAATCCAGTCAACTTTTAATAACTATGGTTAGGCCCCTGGCCAGGTGATAACAAAAAGCTTTAATAAAGTTATATGGGTTTATAGTGATTATTATATGTGGTTTCCTGGGCTCTAGAGCCAGACTGCCTGAGTTTGAATCCTTGCTCCTGAACTCACTAGCTGTGAGACCTTGAACAGGTTACCTGACCTCTCTGTGCTTCAGTTTTCTCATCTGTAATATGGAGATAACAACTGTTTATATGCTATTATGAGGACTGAATGAATTAATATTTGCAAATCACTTAAAACAATGGTTAACATATCTAACATAAGTACAATAAAAGTTCTATTTTAAAAGCAAAAAAGATGTATGGGGATCATCCCTATTTATTACAAAATAGCATGCTGTGTGCTTTTACAGAACCAACGTGGGTTTCGAAAACATGTGTATGCTAACACAGCATTCTTAGTAAATATTCAGCCAATCCTATATTTAGGCAAAGAGGAGGAACCATAGAGAAATCAGGCTTGCTCTAAAAGACCACGAGCACAAAGGAGTTTTCCTGCAGGGCTGGTTTTTCTTTTTAAATACTGATTGCTAAGTACCTGGCATCGTTACCACAAGGTAAATAACCACAGGGTAGGACTTTAAAAACTTTCTTCAAAAAGGAATTATATGGAAGTATTAATAAGAGAAAATGCCTTTATTTCATTTCTCAAGTAATGAAATAAAATGTTTAAATTTTTTTTCCTCTAGTATGCAGAGCAAGAGGTAGGAAACTATCACCCCTTGGTTTAAGCCAATTACATGTAATCAAATGAGGTACAGAGCCAACAGGTTAGCATCTAAAAGGGTAGTAGCCTTGTAGCGTCTCCCTTAAAAATCTCAAAGTTCCAAGGAATAAATTTGGATGAAGCAGGCGTTTGTTCCTTTTCCCTGGTTTTTTGAGCTCAACAAGAAATGTTTACCTAAGCCGAGGGCAGTTCTGACCTAGAGCATTCAGGATGGCATCAGTGATGTTGGCGCAGCCGGAGGCACAGAGGGACTGTAACTTATGGCACCCTCTGCATATAGTAATGAGACCTTCATCTGTGATTTGCTAAAAAAAAAAAAGAGCAAAAAACCCCCACAGGTATTAGTAATGTAGCAGAAGAAAAAGAAGGAAAAAACGTTACCTGGGAAAATAAGCACCAAAAAGAAATAAAACCGATTTAATATCAATCAGGTAGCAGACCTAAAAGAAAATGAACACACTGTTTCTCCTTTTCAGTTCCTTTTGATTTACTTGTGAGAGAATCTGCGCTCATTTCTTTTCTTTTTTTAAGTAGGCTCCACGCCCAACATGGGGCTTGAACTCACAACCCTGAGATCAGAGTCACATGACTGAGCCAGCCAAGCATCCCTGTGCTCATTTTTGGTGTAAAGGGAAGAAGCTATAATGGGATTCTTTTAACGTAAGGGGCTGGGAACAGCATGAGGTGCATCATGGGGTAGATTCAATTAAATTCCTTTTATCAGGCCAATGAGAATTTGTGTCACATATTAGGAAAGTACTATAGAGCTGTGCTGCCTGTTCCTTAGTGTTTTCAAGTCCATAAGGGATTACTGAAGAAGAAAGAGGAGGAAAGTCATACGTAACAATTCTTCAAAGTTTAAAAAGAATAAAATTTACTAAACTTTTATGTTTTCAACTTAGTCAAGAAAAATAGAATGGACTGAGAATGTACTTTGGTCACGTCAACAGTTTTGGGGCAGAAACGTGAAGTCTTAGGAATGAGGATCATTGCATCACATTCTACAGAAGGAATGCCTTATATCCTAAGATCTGGGTGAAGGGAAAGAGTAAAATAAACAGATGATAGAACTGGTTCTTTGTGCTTACCGACTGTGATTTCTGTCTGCTGGAAGGGTCAAGGATATGAAATTAAAACAGCAAACAGTAGGTATGGCATATATGTGTATGTAAATATATCCACACAAATACATAGAGTGTATCTGTGTGTAGATACATACACGTAAGATCCAAAGATCCCCGAGAATAGTTTTTTCCTATCATTGTAAGATGATGGTTTCATGTTTACAGCAGTTGTGTAAGCTCTTCCTGTCAGGCCAAATATTTCGGTTTCATAAATGAATAGTAGGCAAATTCTGAGAGTTAGCAACTATGGCAATCAGAATTAAAAGGAAGCGGTGATCAGACTTAAAAGGAATGTCATTCCTTTAACTCAGTCTTCAGGAGCCTCCCAAGTAGATCATTATCAGCACCATCCCTTAAGGGCTGGAAGGGGAGGTTGCTTCAATTGCACAAAATGTGGCCCTTTATGTGTCACTTTTTTTTTTATTATGTTAATCACCATACATTACATCATTAGTTTTTGATGTAGTGTTCCATGATTCATTGTTTGCGTATAACACCCAGTGCTCGATTCAGTATGTGCCCTCTTTAATACCCATCACCAGGCTAACCCATCCCCCCACTCCCTTATGTGTCACTAAACAACCATTATGGTCTCAAGTTTCAGGTGATCATACAAGAAAGGGAGGGGATAATGAGCAGAAGTTTTAGCAAAAACAAGGCAAACCTTCATCAACTCTTTTTCACTGCCATGAGAGGCTCTCACTGCAAGGCAACACATAATTGTAATTTTCAAGGCAAGAGAGAAAAGCTAAAAGTGTACTGTCAGTGTTCTAGGACCCTGAAAAGTTTTAGCAAATTCTCTGAGCAAAATGCAGGGGTTTGGGCATAGACACAAAAACGCTGACAGTCTAAACAAGCCCAATGTGAACTACAAATACTACCTGGAAATAATTTAGAGAGTACATTTTGCTTGTCATCTGTTTAGATCAGTGGTTCCCATTCGTTAATGACTCACTGATAGATCTTTTTCTTTTTTTTTTTTTAAAGATTTTATTTATTTGACAGAGAGAGACACAGCGAGAGAGGGAACACAAGCAGGGGGAGTGGGAGAGGGAGAAGCAGGCTTCCCGCCGAGCAGGGAGCCCGATGCGGGGCTCGATCCCAGGACCCTGGGATCATGACCTGAGCCGAAGGCAGACGTTTAACGACTGAGCCACCCAGGCGCCCCCTCGCTGATAGATCTTCACTGGCATGACTGCAATTAATTAACCAAAAATATTCTAAGTACTAAAGTCTGTGAATAATTCACTTCTAAAAAGCAGAAAAGAAAAGGGGTGGAGTTACAGTTAGCTTATTTGGAATTCTGCATGAGCTATCTTCTATATGACTTATGTCAAAGACCTTAGGAGTGAGTATCATTAAGCATGCAAAGAATCATCTGTGCGTTTCCTGTGTCCCCAGGGCTGAAGTGGAAAAAACCACTGGTCTTGATGACTGAAGCTTGTACAATATTACTGCAATGAATTACAAATACAAAAGAGTTGTGGGAAGGACTGCTTACTAAGCAAGTCTGCAAGTTCAAAGTCACCAGTTCAGGACAGTGTGCACCTATGTACTTGAGAGCTTCATCTTCTAGCTAGAAAAATTAAAAAGACAGAAAAAAATGATTACTAACATTGTTTCAAGGGACAAAGATTCAGGAGTATACACTTTCATCAATATATTCTAAATACAGCCAACCAGGTTTCAAAGAACAGTGAACCAGAAACAATGACCCTTAGTCACATAAAGGTGTAATTCATGTCATTAGTATGGTTATCAGTATTTTTCATCAGTTTCAACCACATCAAATTCACATGACCATCAAATCAAGGAAAAGATAAAATAAACACTGCCTAATGTTTATGGATGTTTCTTCTGATAAAAATTAAGTATGCCTCACAGCATTTTGCTCAGGGATTATGAAGCTAAAATAATTTTCACACTTCTATACTTCCTATATAAAAAGTTTTTTTTAAAAACAAACTTTGGGGAGCAGAAGCTGAGAAAGGAATCCGGTTTATCTGCTGCTGGAAGATCAGTGCCATACATACAGTGCTGAGAACAGATGGCAAGTAATTGATTATAATGGTGCATTCCAATCAATATTTTTCAGGATTCCATAAATAACCAGAAGCTCAAGCTGTTGTTTTAAGGCAGTCTTACTTTCAAAGCTCTGTTTCAAACAATGGAACTCCTCCCATCACGGTGAAGGAATAAGGGTACTTTTTTATTTTTTAAACTTTATTTTAAAATTTTGGTTACAGTTTCATTTTTGTTTTCTTAACATGTCTACTATTTAATCTCTCGGGATTAAAAAAAACAATTATTAAGATTCTAAAGAATTAAACAACAAAGGAATGTCAAGGGAAGGGCACAACTGCCCCATTCTCTGGGGTATAAGAGCTATTCCAGTTTAACACCTAGCTTCAAAACAAAATGAATTTTTATATTTTCTAAATGAAATAATGTACAACCACCATCTTCTAACTTTCAAACACAAAGCTTCATCTTAAGCTTGGTAAAAACTTTTTTTAACAGGAATGATAGCCGATCTTAGTATGTAGTGTGTACCTTACAGGAATTTTTTTTTTTTTTAAAGATTTTATTTATTTATTTGAGAGAGAGAGAGAGAATGAGAGAGAGCACATGAGAAGGGGGAGGGTCAGAGGGAAAAGCAGGCTCCCCGCCGAGCAGGGAGCCCGATGCGGGACTCGATCCCGGGACTCCAGGATCATGACCTGAGCCGAAGGCAGTCGCTTAACCAACTGAGCCACCCAGTGCCCGGAATTTTTTTTTTTTAAACAATCATAACAGTAATATGGAATAAGAGCACTTTTAACAAAATCCAAGGCATGGTTCCAGTAACCATTAATAAAATAATGTCACAAGAGCTTAGCCCTACTTTGTCAGTCACTTCTAAACTCACTTTTGGTTATTTCCTTCGAGATGCTGCCATGTCAATTCCTTTTTTAAATAACAGTAAAATACGAAGATAGTAAAATCTTTAATGACCAAACATATTGGGATTTGTAATGTGACTGGCAGGAAGTAAACACCAACACTATAAAATGCAGGTTCTGTATACTTGGCACATTTAACCTGGTAGTTAAACAACTAGTGAAAATTGCTAAGACTGCTTTCCTTGTGTCTCCAGTTCAAGGTCTCAGGCAGTGACAACATGGCAACTTTTCTTCTCAGATTAAATTGCGTAAGATGCTTCCTGCCTATGGTGCATGTTCAGTGTGATTTTGTCTCCCCATCTTGCCTCCCCTCAAAAATTTTATCTTTGGTCAGATGTTAATTCTTTTCATATTTTTTTTACTCTAAGGAAGACACTTTAATTTTTGGTAAGCATGTATCTTTGGTCATTAATATACAACTACATATTCCTCCAGCCAACATCCTTGGGCTGCCTTCAAAGTTCACGGTTCTTCTAAAATTCACAAGCACTACATGGAGTATTACCTGTGTGCAGCCTTTTAAGAATAAGGCCTTGAGACCCCCACAGCCTCTCACTAGTGCTTGGATGCCATCCTTGGTTACTTGGTCACACCAGGAAATGTTTAATTGCTCCAACAGTGGACATCCCTCACTTAGGACAAAACAAAATGAAACAAATATATGACTAAATCCATTTCCAAAGGCACCAAAGTCTCACTTTACTGGCTATTTAGTCAGGAAATGGCTACAGCCCCATGCTTTCCCACAAGGATATACTCATTTACTTAACACAGATTTAGAATACAGGCAATCTCACAACAACAATGCATATTTATCAATGTTGGTTGAGTTCAGGTGGGACTGTATCACTAGGAGGGCTATCTCAAATCCAGCTAAACTAACAAGCACAAAGCACAAAAATTTTTTTTTATTATGTTATGTTAATCACCATACATCACATCATTAGTTTTTGATGCAGTGTTCCATGATTCATTGTTTGCGTATAACACCCAGTGCTCCATGCAGAACGTGCCCTCTTTAATACCCATCACCAGGATAACCCATCCCCCCACCCCCCTCCCCTCTAGAACCCTCAGTTTGTTTCTCAGAGTCCATAGTCTCTCATGGTTCGACACAAAGCACAATATTGTTTTTCAGATATATTAGACTGTTATGGAGGTTTATCCTTTTCAAATATATTCTTTATGCACTTAATCACATGTTTAAATGGTCTCGGGAAAGGAAATGGGAACTAAGTGACCTGTTCAAGTTAACAGAGTAATTTGTGAAGAGTTTAGATTCAGATTCTTTATCAAGTAATTCTATTACTTATCAAAGTAATAATGAAGACGTTTAAATTCTTATTTAAAAAGTTACAAAGGATCTATAAATTTTCCTTATCTGTGAAGTCTCTAGAGTACGGTCTCCATAGGCTAAATTTAGGCTATACTGTGCTTGATCTCTGCCTTCTATCAAATATCAGTATCATCTTTGATTTCACATTTGAACTATGCAGGAATCCCAAGCTCTATGACATTCTTTGGAAAATATTGCTTTAATTGTTTTATAAAATGAAGGCAGGGGATTCTGGTTCAAGTCCATTCTTCAACATTAATAGTGTGACTTCAGACAAGTCACTTTAGGAAACCTGCCTGAACTTCTCTTAATGTAAGATCAGCCATAGCCTATGTTCTTCCCAAATGGAAGCACTCACTTCTTATAACACTGTAGTATGACAACATGTTTATTATTATTTTTTTCTCCCACTACACTCTGAGCAGCTAAAGGGCAGCAACAATACCTTATTCAGTGAGGTTCAATCACAGTACCTGGCATTCAAAAGTGTTTTAGATTTTCTTATCTGTAAGTGTCTGTCCTATCTGCCTCACATGGTTTTCAAATAAATGAAATCATTTATGTGAAAATATTTTATAAACCATAAATGCTGTTGTATTATCCTATTTATTATCCCACATGGCAAATGGCCTTAGAAACATATGTACTCAGTATTCATAAGGAAGGTCTAGAAGCCCTTTCTAGATTACTTATACTCAACTAAATCTATATTTCTTCTTTTAATAGCTTAATTTTTATTATTTATGAGCATAACCAATACATGGGACCATAATTACCTGTAAAAGACTGATAAAAAAGTAAAGATACAAAGAGAATGGGCATTTCACCCTCCATTTAAGGTACACCTTCTATAACGTACTTTAAAAAAATACATTAATATTAAAATGAAACTTACTGAGTGCTTACTATATGCCAGAAACTCTCCTAAGCACTTTATATATGTTAGGTTGAACCACATGAAGCCAAAAGTTGTCAAATACTGGCAACTTTGTATGGTTTGGCCTAATATTATCAAACAATAATACTGTTTAACTCTAACAACAGGACTATGAGATGATAAGGAAAAGCTCACAAGGGTTATATTTGTTCAAGGTACCTGGTTAATCACCTGATTCCGGAGTGCTGTTCTGATCACTAAGCTATAATGATATGTGGCGTTCTGGGGAGTGGGGGCAACCAAGCCTTCATAGAAATCTAATCATTCGTGTATACGCTATACCAGTCTATTCAGAAATCCTAATTACCTCTAGTCATTTCACCTGAATGTGTTCTGTAATTTGGGCAAGTGATAAAACAAAAGATCTATTCTGAACTTTAGTACATATCCATAAAACACAGTTTCCTTCAATTCCAACTTTATTTCAGTCATTTGAAATAAAAAAAAAAATCAGTATTTGTTCTGATTATTGGATACTCTTGTTATAAGACATTTACCTCAGAGCTTTAAGAGACATGTTTGTTATTGATGTACAGGAAGCCAAGTCAAGGTGCCTGAGTTTGGAACAGAACTTGCTAAGGCTAGTACATGTACTGAAAAATGGAAAAAGGAGAAAATAATGAATAAACACACAGGAACACATCTTTAGTAAATCATGCACAATTCTCATTAAGCACACGTGTATACATATGAACTGTAAAACTTCCATACCCCAAATAAAAGCAGTTATAAATCCTGGGACCTTTCACATTGAGGAAGAGGCAGGTGTCATTCACAAAGAAGAAAGGCTGTGCTGTGTATGAGAATTAGCACGAGGGGATGATGATGCTTCATTCTCATTTGGAAATGTTTAACAGCAAACTACCTCTGTGCTCATAGGAGACCTATATGCTTTTTGCAAATACAGAAATACCAGAAAGCTAGCTTAAAACTTGTGAGCAAGTGGTGAAACATGAAGACTGAAAGCTCTGTCTCTGTGCTTTCATTTATTTATTGTTTTTTTTAAAGATTTTATTTATTTGACAGAGAGACAGGGAGAGTAGGAACACAAGCAGGGGGAGTGGGAGAGGGAGAAGCGGGCTTCCTGCTGAGCAGGGAGCCTGATGTGGGGCTTGATCCCAGGACACTGGGATCATGACCTGAACCAAAGGCAGACACTTAATGACTGAGCCACCCAGGCGCCCCTCTGCTCTTTCATTTAAATCTCTGCTCAAGATAACCTTTTGCATGGCAGTAATGAAATGGGTGGATTTTTGCAAGGTGTACTGAGGACAGACCGGTATCGGGCTTGAACAAACTAAGTTATGGAATATTACTACCTACTTGTCCTTATGACTTTTTTTGAAAAGATTTATTGGGGCACCTGGGTGGCTCAGTCGTTGGGCGTCTGCCTTCGGCTCGGGTCATGGTCCCAGGGTCCTGGGATCGAGCCCCCGCATTGGGCTCCCTGCTCAGCGGGAAGCCTGCTTCTCCCTCTCCCACTCCCCCTGCTTGTGTTCCCTCTCACTGTGTCTCTCTCTGTCAAATAAATAAATAAAATCTTAAAAATAAATAAATAAATAAAATATTTATTTATTTATTTTATTTCTGAGAGAGCGAGCAAGCGTGTGTAGGGAGAGGGGCAGAAGGAGAGGGAGAGAGAGAATCCTCAAGCAGACTCCACTAAGTGCGAGCCCGACATGGGGCTCCTATCCCAGGACCCTGAGATCATGACTTGAGCTGAAATCAAGAGTCAGCCACTTAGCCAACTAAGCCTCTCATGTGCCCTTGTTTTTTTTTTTTTTTAAAGTAATCTCTACCCCCAACATGGGGCTTAAACTCATGATTCCCAGATCAAGAGTCGCATGCTCCACCAACTGACCAGCCAGGTACTCCTTTATGAATTTCTTAAAGGCTTTTTTTTTTTTTAAGATTTCAGACAGAGAGAGCACAAGTTGGGGAGACAGGCAGAGCAAGAGGGAGAAGCAGACTGTCCGCTGAGCAGGGAGCCCGATGCAGGGCTCAATCCCAGAACCCTGAGATCACGACCCGAGCCAAAGGCAGATGCTTAACCGACTGAACCATCCAGGAGCCCCTAAAGGCTCTTTTTCTACAGTGATCATGTTCTGAGTTTAATTTTTTTAACTTACAATGGAAAATTTCAAATATATACAAGAGTGAATAATAGAGAATGCACATGTACCAACATTAAGCTCTGACATTTGTTAATTTCTACTATTTCTATTTCATCTATTTCCCTCTGCTTTTTTGTTCCAGTATTTTAAAGCAAATCCCAGACATATTATTTCACCTATAAATATTTCAGGACATATTTCTAATAGATAAGGACTTTAATTCCTTAATATCTGATAACCCGTCTGTGTTCAAGTTTCCTCAATTGTCTTATAAATGCCTTTGTCAAGTTGATTTGTTCAAATAGGATCCAAATAGGAGCCATACATTCTATTTGGCTGATATGTGTCTTAGGTCTTTGTGTGGACCTGTTTCCATTTCTTCTGGATAGATGCCTAGGGTTAGCACTGTTAGGTCCTACACTATGTTTATGTTGGACTTTTTAAGAAACTACCGAACTGCTTTCCAAAGTGGCTGCACTATTTCACATTCCCACCAGCAATGCATGAAGGTCTGTTTCTCTACATTCTTGCCAATACTTGGCACTCTCTTTTTGATTATAGCCATGTTAGTGGGTATGGATTGTAATCCTACTGGTTTTATGCTGCAGTTCTGTAATGAATACCCTTTCTTGTACTTATTAGCCATTCATCTCTTTCCCTGGTGAAATATCTAAGTGTTTGGCCCAATTTTTAATTGGACTTATTACTGATTATAAGAGTTCTCTATATACTCTTATTTTTTTAAGATTTTATTTATTCATAAGAGACAGAGACAGAGAGAGGCAGAGGGAGAAGCAGGCTCCCCGCTGAGCAGGGAGCCCGATGCGGGACTCGATCCCAGGACCCTGGGATCATGACCTGAGCCGAAGGCAGATGCCCAACCATCTGAGCCACCCAGGTGCCCAAGAGTTCTATATATACTCTTAATACATGTCTTTAATTTCTTTCAGTAATGTTTTGTCATTTTCAGATACTTCTTTTAGAACTATGTCATCTGAGAATATAGACAGTTTTACTTCTTTCCTGTCGGTATGCGCCCCCCCCCCCTTTTTTTCCTGCTTATTGCATTTGGCTAGAATCTCCAACAGAATGTTGGTAGAAATGGTGACATTTAGCATCCTCACCTTGCTCCTGATCTTAGGGTAAAGGATTCAGTCTTTCATCAATAAGTATGAGGTTAGCGGTAGGTTTTTCGTAGATGCTTCTGATCAGATTGCGAGAACTCCTTTCTATTTCTAGTTTGTTGAGAATTTTTTTTTTTATTATGAATGGGTGTTGGATTTTGTCATGTGTTTTTTCTGTATCGGATGATGTACTAATGATCTACTGTTACTTAACAAATTACCCCAAAACTAAGCAGCTTAAAACAACAAGTATTTACTATCACACAGGTTTCTGTGGGACAGGAATACAGGCCCAGGTGGCTTTAGCAGGGTGCCTCTGACTCAGGATTCGTCACAAGGCTGTAATCAAGGTACTGGTCACAGTTGCATTCACCTCAAAGGTTAACTGGGGGCAAACTCCCTTCCAAGCTTATTTAGGTGGCTGTTGGCAGACCTCAGAAGATCCAATTCCAAGCTCACTCATTTGGCTTTTGGTAGGTTTCAGGTCCTTGCTGGCTGTTGGCTAGCCCTCAGTTCCTTGTGACATGGACCTCTTCACAGAGCTACTCACAATAGGACAGCTTGCTCCCCCCAGAGCTGGAGCCCTGAGGGAAAGCAGAGCAAGACAGAATCAGTCTTTTGGTAACCTAATCTCCAAAGTGACATCCAATCTCTTTGGCAGTATTCTATTGTTAGAAATGAGTCACTAGGTCCAGTCCACGTTCAAGGGAAAAGATTACACAAGGGTGTGAGTACTAGGAGGCAGGGGTTATTTGGGGGCCATTTTAGAGGCCACCAATCCCACTGAGATGATCATGTGGTTTTTGTCCTTTATTCCAGGAGGCAATAAACCTCACCAGCTGCCTATTTTTATATGGCTCACAAGTCAAGAATGATTTTGATGTTTTTAAATGGTTGAAATTTTTTTTAAAGATACATCATGCAACATGTGAAAATCATATGAAATTCAAATCTCATTGCCCAGAAATAAAGTTTTACTGGAGCACAGTTATGTCTATTTGTTCACGTATAGGCTATGGCTGCCTTTGGAAAACACTGGCAGGGTTGAGGAGTTGTGACAGCTAACTGTATGGCCAATGAAGCCCTAAAAATATTTACTTAATCTGGCCCCATACGGAAAGTCTGCTGACTTCTACTTTATTCTACTAATTATTATGAGATATTATATTAATTAATTTTCATATATTAAGCCATACTTGTATTTCTGGGATATATCCCACTTGGTTATGATCCCAAATCCTTTCATACGTTGCTGGATTCAGTTTGCTAACACTTTGTCAAAGTATTTTTGTGGCTCTGTTTCTGAGGGATCACAATCAGTAGATTACCTTTTATTGTGATGTCTCTGGTAGCAGAAAAACACTGGCCTCATAGAATGAGTTATAACATACTACATTTTATGAATCAGTTTGAAGATTGGTATTATCTCTTCTTTAAATATTTGATGGGATTCACCAGTGAACTCATCTGGGCCTGGGGTTTTCTTTATGGGATGCTTTTGAATTATTCACTGAACTTACTTGTTACAGATCTATTCAGATTGTCTTTTTTTTTTTTTTAAGTCTAATTTGGTTATTTGAATTAGACTTTGTCCATTTCATCTAGACTGTCTAATTTGTTAGCATAAAGTCATTTATGGGGGTGCCTGGGTGGCTCAGTCGTTGAGCGTCTGCCTTCGGCTCAGGTCATGATCCCAGGGTCCTGGGATTGAGCCCCACATCGGGCTCCCTGCTTGGCATGAAGCCTGCTTCTCCCTCTCCCCCTGCTTGTGTTCTTTCTCTAGCTATCTCTCTCTGTCAAATAAATAAAATCTTTAAAAAAATAAAGTCATTTATGATATTCCCTGATAATCCCTTTAATCTCTATCTTTTGGGTAAAGTATTTAGTCTTCTTCATTCCTGCTTTTGATAATTTATGTCTTTTATTTTCTTAGTCTGGGCTTGTCAATTTTGATTTTTTCCCCCCAAAAACCAGCTTTTGGTTTCATTACTGTTTTTCTGTTTCCTATTTTATTGATATTCAACCTAATCTTTTTTAAGTAATCTCCACACCCAACATGGGACTCCAACTCACCACCGGGAGGTCAAGAGTCACATGCTCTACCGACTGAGCTAGTTAGGTGCCCCTAGATCCTTGATTTTAAACTTTTCTTTTCTAACATAAGCATTTGAAACTACATTTTTCTCTAAAGTATTGCCTTTGGTACAGTCCACAAGTTTCAAATGTTGTGTTTTCATTATCACACAGCAAAACATTTTTTAGTTTTCTTTGTAATCTATTTTTTCACCCATGTTATTCTGAAGGATGATATTAGGACACGTTCATTGACAGTGTTGCTCAAGTCTTCTAGAGCTTTACCGGTGTTTGGTCTACTTGATTTTATCTTTACTATTTATTATCTTCCATCTACACTTTTTCCTGAAGTTTACATCATCTCATATTAATAACCACTCCAAGTTTCCTGTGATTAGTGATTGTGATAGTATAGCCTTTCTCATCCTTTTACTTCCACATCCATATTAAGTTTTCTTGTAAATTCTTGAGCATGTTTGTACTTGCTTTTTTTTTTTAAACTTTTTATTGGTCCATTTTCTAATCTCTATCATTTCTAGGTCTGTTTCTAATCTGGTATCATTTCATGCTTTTTTGCATGTCTTGTAATTTTCACTGAATGCTGGAAATTCTGTATGCTGAGTGCCTAGGTTTTGTCACCTTCTTTAAAAAGAATGTTGAGGTGGCGCCTGGTGGCTCAGTTGTTAAGCGTTTGCCTTCGGCTCAGGTCGTGATCCCAGGGTCCTGGGATCGAGCCCCTGCTCCGTGGGAAGCCTACTTCTCCCTCTCCCACTCCCCCTGCTTGCGTTCCCTCTCTTGCTGTGTCTCTGTCAAATAAATAAACAAAATCTTAAAAAAAAAAATAAATAAAAAGAATGTTGAATTTCAACTTAGCAGATAGCTAAAATAGTTATGGATCAATTTGATTCTAAATTTTCTTCTTTTAACCTTTACTGGGACAGGTCTAGTCTAGCTTTACTACCAAGATGTGACCTTTCTGAAGTCTGTTATTAAATGCCCCGAGGTATTCTCCATTTGAGGTAGTCAGAACTTTTCTCAGCCTTATTTAAGCTCTGGCAATTTTTCAGTTTACAGTTTCCCAGTAATTGTTCTTTCCTTATTAGATGCTCTTTGCCTGGCTTTGTAAGGTCTCAATATGTGCATTTACACTTTACTATTCGGCCAAATCGATGTAGATTTCTATAGCTCTTTTTGAGTAGATCCGCCATCTCGAGACAAAAATTCCACTTTCGTCTCCCTGAGCTCCGATTTCTTACTCTTCAAATCAGCCAAAACTTTGTTCTCTGCTCGAGTTCTTTCTCCTTAATACCATCATCTGGAAAATACCACCATGCAGAAAGCCAGGGTAGTCATAGGGTTCACCTGATTTGTTTCTCCATCCTGTGCTGCATATTATCCAACATCTCAAACTGGTTCTTTGCTATGTTTTGTATAGTTTTATAGTTGTTGATGGCAGGAGGGCAGTTACTGTCATGGCAGAAGCAGAAGTCTCCATCTTCGCTTTTTTGTTTTCATTTTTTATTTTTTTAAAGATTTTATTTATTTATTTGAGAGAGAGAGAGAGAGCATGAAAGGGGAGAGGGTCAGAGGGAGAAGCTGAGCCGGGAGCCCGATGCGGAGCCCGATCACAGCACTCCAGGATCACGAACTGGGCTGAAGGCAGTTGCCCAACCGAGCCACCCAAGCACCCCTCCATCTTTGCTTTTTTAAAGTTTGCGTCTTTTTTCTTTGATATTGCACTTAAAATACTATGTTTTTGTTTTTGTTTTTTTAAGATTTTATTTATTTGTCCGAGAAAAGAGAGAGAGAGAGAATGCACAAGCAGAGGTAGAAGCAGGCTCCCTGCCAAGCAGAGAGCCCAATGCGGGACTCGATCCCAGGACCCTGGGATCATGACCTGAGCTGAAGGTAGATGCTTAACCGACTGAGCCTCCCAGGCACCCCTAAAATATTATGTTTCTAAAGTCACTAGAACAGGCAAAAATCTGAACTAACCAGTGGTTATTTGATGATTTTAAGATTTTTTTTTTATAGGAGTGATAAAGTTAACATGCTTATGTTAAAAGGGCCCTACAAAAAGTATCTTTTGGGGCGCCTGGGTGGCTCAGTCGTTAAGCGTCTGCCTTCGGCTCAGGTCATGGTCCCAGGGTCCTGGGATCGAGTCCCACATCGGGCTCCCTGCTCCACGGGAAGCCTGCTTCTCCCTCTCCCACTCCCCCTGCTTCTGTTCCTGCTCTCGCTATCTCTCTCTCTGTCAAATAAATAAATAAAATCTTTAAAAAAAAAAAAAAAAGTATCTTTTTTTTTTTTTTAAGATTTTATTTACAGGGGCACCTGGGTGGCTCAGTTGTTAAGCGTCTGCCTTTGACTCAGGTCATGATCTCAGGTTCCTGGGATTGAGCCCCACATCGGGCTCCCTGCTTGGTGGGAAGCCTGCTTGTCCCTCTCCCACTCCCCCTGCTTGTGTTCTCTCGTTATCTCTCTGCCAAATAAAATCTTAAAAAAAAATAAAAAGATTTTATTTACTTATATTTAACCTACTGAGCCACCCTGGAATCCCTACAAAAAAGTATCTTATACAAGCTTTTTTGCAGTTTGCTTTCTTAACTGTATGTCTTAGAGATCACTCCAGAATACTATATATTTCCTCATTCCATTTATTTAATAGTTCTCTACGGAATGACATTTGGATTGTTTCCCGTCTTTTGCTATTAAAAATATGGCAGTATTTGTTATTACAAACAGTAAAAATGAATAGCCTTGTGCATAAATTTTACTCTATTTTTGTCAGTTTATCTTTGGTACGTAGGATAGATTCCTAGAAAAAAGTGTAAATTGTATGTCACTCTTCTAGATACCAAATTGGTAAAATTCTTAATCTCTGTAACATTAAGTATTCAAAAGAAAAAAAATAAACAGGTTACTTATCTAAAGTAAATGTAGGCTACCCGTATAAAGTCATGGTTAGAGGAGGGGTTATATTTATTTCTCATGTTAAAGGGTCAAATCAATCCACAGAAGTAATACTTGTTTATTATTACAAATACTCTTGTAATTCTACCATAGTAGAATTAATAACCGTAGTTCTTGTTTTTCAGACACTGTCTTATATTAAAAGTTAACAATTATTGTGACCTCAAAGAAAGGAATGAAATAAACTGTACCCTGTGTCTGGAGTGTATTTCACTTTCCTTCATTAAAACAATTCTAAAGATCCCACCTCCTTTATGAGGCCTTTTTGAACAGGAACATTCACTGAATAATCCTGGCCCCACCCTGTATAAACATGCTTCCTCATCGGCTTCACTTCACCTCACAACAGGCAACAATTTCCCTATGTGATTGTAAATGTTATTTGATACATATTATTAATTATTACCAATAGATACCCTGGAACTAATTTTTTGGGGGCGTGCTGTTTTTTATGTCTACCTTCCATGTCTATTATGTCTGTGATAGTAAGCTCTCAAGGATGAAGGAGTGCTTTATTTCATTTATACTGTAACTGACAGACACAGTACATTTAAAGGGTCATTTAATAAATGCTCTCAATATTATTACAAGTTGCTCAGTTATGTGTTTAAGATTTTATAGAATTATCTGTTTACTGTGGGTTTTTTTAAAGATTTTATTTATTTATCTGAGACAGAGAGAGAGAGAGAGCACGGTCGGGGAGGAGGGGCAGAGGGACAAGACGACTCCCCACCGAGCACAGAGCCCTAGGACTTGGGGTGGGGGGTGGCGCCTGGATCCCAGAACCCTGAGATCAGACCAGAGGCAAAGTTGATGCCCCAATGACTGAGCCACCCAGGAGCCCCTATTTACCATGTCTTTTGAATGAAAGCTACTAGTATCTTCTTGAAATATAAGTAGTCCTAGTAGTTTATATTATTAATAACCCTACTGCATACCCATGGTCTATAATTTTTAAGTTTCACTTTATTTTTTTTTAAAGATTTTATTTATTTATTTGACAGAGAGAGAGAGAGCACAAGCAGGGGGAGTGGCAGACAGAGGGAGAAGCAGGCTCCCTGCTGAGCAGGAAGCCCGATGAGGGACTCCATCCCAGGACCCTGGGATCATGACCTGAGCGGAAGGCAGCCACTTAACTGACTGAGCCACCCAGGTGTCCCTTAAGTTTCACTTTAAATATCAAGATAGAATTTGGGCCAGACTCCAAAATAAGTTTCTTATGCCATTTCTATTTTAATGTTTTCTCCTTTTAAAATATCTTTCCTGGGGCGCCTGGGTGGCTCAGTCATTGGGTGTCTGCCTTCGGCTCGGGTCATGATCCCAGGGTCCTGGGATCGAGCCCCGCATCGGACTCCCTGCTCTGCAGGAAGCCTGCTTCTCCCTCTCCCACTCCCCCTGCTTGTGTTCCCTCTCTCTCTGTCTCTCTCTCTGTCAAATAAATAAATAAATAAAATCTTAAAATAAAATATCTTTCCTCTGTAAGACTACAATGAAATTTGCTAAATATATTTAATAACCCACATTTAAAGCTAGTATAGGCAGGACACAAGGGGCTATGACTTACCCTTCTAATACATGAAATACTTACGCATCTGTTGTCTTTGTACATCCGTTTAGATTCAGTACTTCAATGTTCCTACAATTTTGTGCAAAGGTCCTTTACAGGAAAGAAACAAAGTTAAACGTTTGAAAAGAAATGGGCACAATTCTAGGCATTACAAAAAAATAATAAAAGATATTATTATTGGTAATATTGGATGTTTGTACAAAACAAGCTCACATTTACAAATAAATTCATTTTCAACCACGATTTTTTTTTTAAGATTTTATTTATTTATTTTACAGAAAGTGAACGAGCACAAGGAAGGGGAGCAGAAGGCAGAGGGAGAGGGAGAAGCAGGCTCCCCACCGAGCAGAGAGCCCGATGCAGGACTTGATCCCAGGACCCTGGGATCATGACCTGAGCTGAAGGCAGACGCTCAACCTACTGAGCCACCCAGGCACCCCAACCATGAACTTTTAAACATTGATCTTTGTGCCAACCAAGGTTACAATTACCCGAACTTACTCAAGGCTCCAAAAGAGTCATTTATGATATGAGGAATCTGGCTTTTGGTAGGGAGTACTTATTCTTGTTTTATTCTCAAGACCATACATCCCAAAACCATACATCCCAGTGTTATAAGCAATGTATGTGTGTTTGGGTTCTGAAGAGCTTAAGAATATAAAAATTATTTTAGCTTTTTCTGGGTGAGATGGTGCTGTTCTTTACTTCAGCCAAGAAGATCAATTAATCAATAGTTATGTTCTTACCTTAATGCATTGTCTCCTACTCCAAGACACCCACGAAGACTTAACTTTCGTAAAAAGCCCCCACATCTTTTTGAAATATTCTCCACTACTCGGCCCTGTACAAAAAAGATAGAAACAAAACAAAGCAGAACAATAAGGTACCACATTGTTTTTGAAAAGAACTTTTACTTATTTTCTTTTCTTTTTTTTTAAAATTTTTTAAAGATTTTATTTATTTGAGAGCAAGAGTGAGTGAGTGAGAGAGAGAGAGAGCTCATGAGCATGGGGAGAGGGAGAAGCAGGCTCCCCGCTGAGCAGGGAGCCTGATATGGGACTCGATCCCAGGACCCTGAGATCATAACCTGAGCCGAAGGCAGCCGCTTAACCGACTGAGCCACCCAGGTGCCCCTCTACTTGTTTTCAAAACTTAATTCAATAAAGAAATTTCAACTTACTTTGAGAAATCTTTCCTGATCAACTCATCTACCTGGAACAGGTTTACACCCTGTATTGTTTATTTTGTTCGGTTTGTGAGACACTCTGCAGTTGAGGAAATGGTGCTCTGTTCTTCTTATGCCACTATATTAATGCAGACTGACCTCCGGGTTAAACTGCAGCTACTGAAGGACATTAGCTATCTTTACTACTTCTGAATCCTTTCCAAAGTGTTTACTATAGCACTCTAAATACAGCGGAGACTCAACAAACACTTAACAGAAGCTTGCTGAATGATTTTGTGGGTCATGTTGCTTTAAATATTTATATCCATGAAGATCAGACAACTGTGAAAAACCTAAGAGTCCAGCATAATGTCAGTGGGTATTATTTTAAAAGTACTTTCTGTAGAAATGGAAAGTTCCATTTCTAATGGAAAGTTCATGTGAGGCTTTTGAAAAACTTCTTATATGGATACTCAAGACAAGTTCCCCTAGAACTTAAAAATTTTTTAAATCTAAATCTCATTTTAATCTTATAATATGATGAGGAAGCTATTATTTCCACTCTACTGACAAGAAAACCAAGCACCACAGAATTCAGGTTCATGTTAAAATAATCTAAGCTTAAGCCATTATCCTTCTCTGTTTTAGAGATAATAGGCTATATACTAAGAGATGAACTATGAGGAAGAAGTTTGAAGGGAAAAAAAAATTTCTCCCCAGCAAAAATAATTCATTAAATGACTTTGGCTTCATTCTTTTTTCATTCTCCACAAAAACTGTCTCTAGGCTCCCCAAAGACCAAATTGCTCATCTCAATTAGAATTTATACAAATATCATCCTCCAAGTTGTTAACTCTATTCATTCTTCAGTAAGCAAATATAAAAAGACTTCCTTAAAAATGAACACAAGTTCACATTTCCACCACGAAAATAAAAACAAAAATTTTTAGTCCTATTAATACTAAATAATTCAGTATTCCATCAGTAAAATAGCTCTGCTTATTCTCAAAATCTGAGCAAGCTTGTTGGGAACATTGCAGGTTCCCATGAAGTTCAGATGCACTGAAATTAATAGCTTTTCTCTCCAGGGAAAGGAGATTTATATGGTTGGGGCTAATCTGTTCCATGCTGTAATTACATTCTAACATGAGAAATGGGGCCACACACCACATAATTATACCTCAATATCCCTCTGGAAATCAAACAGGTCAATTCGCTGCCAGTTACTGCCATCCAGAGCCAGAACATTCCAGGCCTGTTTTGAAGAAAAAGAGACAAAATGAGCAGAAGCTCAAGGGGGAAAACCAGCAATATTCAAGTTCACAATTCAAACCAATGATTGAAATTGACCAAAAAATTTCTCAGCCCACCACCATTAACTCCCAAAAGGTCTGCCTTGTTTCTGATTGATATTTTATCCAATTAGATTATCCCATAAATGAGTGGATATAGAAACTAGAAGCTAGGGGGGTTGGGAGAGGACAGATTGTGGTAAGTATATTAGCCAGAATCTCTTTTCTAACCGGAAGATTTAGTTTCTAATCTCCAAATGAGATACTTCTGCTGATGAAAAACAAGTCTCTTACTCCAATCCTTCCACTAGGAGCAAGATGAGGTGAAACCAAAGAAAGAGTAAAGTACTCTGAATATGGGTATATTCAATATACATATTTGCTATCCATAATCACTTGGTCAGACTTGAAACTGATATAGTAACATGGGACTTAGAAAGGACACTCATTTCTCCATATACATGACAGAATCTTATTGCTTTCCTCATTAGCAATTTACTCACTGAGGCATGTTTTTCAACTGGTCATCTTTCCCTCTAACTTACTCGAGTCAGTGGAAATTTTAAAACAGTGAACGTTTAACACTTCTCATACATTTCTTCAGTTAAGCTAAAGAGAGGCAAGAATTTCGACTTTTTAGGATTAGAAAAAATGACTCCAATAAGACTTAATTTATTGTGTACCATATTTTAATGAGAAAGCTTTTAAAAGTTTCTCCTATTAAAGTATAAACAAAAGTTTTAAAATTGCTGAGTTATAAACTTAGAATATTATCTCTTACTATAACACATCAAAATGGAGTCAATACTGAGATTCTAAAAAGGAGATTACAAGCCCCAGGGTAAGTGTCACACAATCAGCCAGAAATATGTCAGGGGTATGAGGGTAAATAAAGCTATTACTTTGGAAATCTTTAAGGTTTACTCAGGAGTTCAGTGTTGCTTTTCTTTTTGTGGTCTCATGGCATCTTAAATGGCTAACCATGGGAGACAAAAGATAAAACTTTTAAAAGATCATATGTTTACTAGCTTCTTAGGTAAATATACTTCTGGTTTGATTTGATATTTCTCATTTCCTTCCTTTCACTAATAAGAAGAAAACATGACAAACTGAGACTAAAATTAGGAATCACAGGTTCCTTCCTAGAGTCTTTTTTTAAGGAAAAAACTAATTCATTAAGTAGTTCAAGTACAGAAAACAATCATCGCATAAGTACTGATGTACCAATTCTCCAGATTTAACAAAAACTGGTGGTGTGCTTTCCTTTCTTTTAAAGTTAAAACATTAATAGGGAAGAGGAACCTGCAAATGAAAACAATTAAAATTCACTAAAATCAACACCCATGAGATGAGACTGCAACTTAACAAAAAGGTTTAGACATGAGTCTGGGTATATTGTTTCTCAATGATGACCTCAGCTCCATATGAAGATATTAAGGAAACCCTATTCATTTGTACCAGCCATTTCCATAGCACAAATACAAGGGATAAAAAAGTCATCAAGAAAAATCATCAAAATACTACTGACTGTTTCCAAAGTAGCTGATACACAGATTTAGTATGGCTTTTGGGATGCAGAAATTATATTAAAGTTAGCAAGACATGGTGAATTTTCTATGGTAAGTTTTGTGGGGTTTTTTGAGGGGAGTAGTGTTGGTTATTTGAAAACCTGTGCACACCTACAAAGATAAACACAATATGGGATAACCCTGTTCCATATCCAGCACTTAGGACAGTATCTCATACACAGTAGTTTCTCAATAAATGTTTATTAAACGGACAAGCAAAAAGCCATTGCCCAGTTATTTAAAAAAGTGATGATTGCATGCGCCCATTCAATGTAAGTTAATCATTACAGATCTGTATTACAAAAGAGAAAGCAATTTTCCCACAACACAGAATCTATTCTTTATATTAGTGGCAGCCAATAAGATTATATTTCAGTTTTGTCACAACAATATCAATTGACAAAAATAGATAAGTGAAATTAAAAACTGACTTTAAGAATGGAATCTGGTTTGCCCTGTAATTTTTAAATAAATTATATTCTAGGTATTAAATTTTGAGGAAAGCAATATGGGGAAAAAACATGAGAATTAGAGCCTTGAGCCTTCCGTGGGTGTGTGTGTGTGTGTGTGTGTGCATATAAAATGAACTAGAAAAACATAATGAAACACTATTTTATTACAATTCTGAGTAGAGCCTAACTTTTTGATTTGCAAGTTTAATACTTTTTCCTTGAAAATGTTTCGTTAAAAAAAAAAGAAAGAAAATGTTTCCTGTTTGCATTATATAAATAGTTAAGATTTCCAAAAAATTAAAGTTAGAGACAGTATATATTGTAGAATCCTACTGCAGAATTACATGGGTTTGGGAATGCCATGCATTAAATACCAACCTCTGACACATAACCAACTAACATCTGAAGGAAACGGTTTGCCTACTATATACAGAGGCTGATATCATCAGCATCAGGAAAGGGTACCCCTATAATCATCAACAATTCTTACCCTGGAGACCTGAGCACAGCGACACAAAGTAACAACATCCAGAAAAGAAAATATCCTAAAAGAGAGGGAGACAAACTTTATTATATGATAAGTAGTTTCTTTTGATTTTTACCTATAAATGCCTATGTTAATAAATGCATGAAAAGGGAGAAGTTCTTTTTTTTTTTTTAAGATTTTATTTATTTATTTGACAGAGACAGACACAGTGAGAGAGGGAACACAAGCAGGGGAAGCAGGAGAGGGAGAAGCAGGCTTCCCGCTGAGCAGGAAGCCCGATGTGGGTTGGATCCCAAGGTTCTGGGATCATGACCTGAGCCGAAGACAGACACTTAACGACTGAGCCACCCAGGCACCCCAGGGAGAAGTTCTTTTGAACAAACACAAAAAATGGGAGCAACTTACAACATAACACTGCCCATATAAAACATTGGGGGAGAAAGAAATCTTTTACTTGAGAATGTATGTATAAGTACCACATAAGTTCGATTACTTATATCAAGGGATAATAAAATATTTCTAACTGATACAATCTGTTAAAAAGTAAAAAAAACAATGTTCACACTTCTGGTTATCAAAAGACTAGGGGAGTGTTAACTTTACAAAGAATATGACAATTATGAAGGAAAAAAGATTAAATAATATAGTAACACCTAAAAAATGAATAACTATATTAAATCTCTATACATGTAATTCTAATTTAGGAAGTTATAAAACTCATCACTGTCGGGAAACACAGCCTAGAATTCTTCTCAGACCTACAGAAGTTAAATATTTATTTTGAAGCGTTATTATTTGAAATAATTGATTTGCTTAAAGTGTGATAACTCTCTACACTATAAGCCACCTGTAAAAACAGGTCAGAGCATCCTGGTAATAAGTGAATGGGTCACATCTGTTTAAAGCCCTCTTTACTCATGAGCGCCCTTTAAAGGTCATTTTGATCTGAATAATAAGCTAAACTCTTCTGCAAGTGCACAAGAACTGTAATATAGCACGTGCTTCAAAGGTTTAAGTAAATTAATTTTGCCTTAAGGATTTTATAAATTCCTTGAGATAACTGGAGATACCTAGGATGTTACAAAATGGAGCTCAGGAAGCATTAATTTGGAGAAGAATGAAGGCCAGATTTTTTTCTTCCATAATTACTTTAAGCATAAAAACCTTCTGAGTTAGCTTAAAAGAACAAAATTTTGTTGCTTAGTGATTAGAGCCTATCAGTCACATTTTTGGAACTAGGAATAAACTCAGCTAATAATTACATCAGACAAGGGCGCCTAGGTGACTCAGGTCATGGTCTCAGGGTCATGAGATTGAGCCCCACGCTGGGCTGCCCGCTGAGCGTGGAGCCTACTACTTAAGATTCTCCACTCCTCACCCACTCACATGTTCTCTCTCTCTCTAAAAAAATAAAAATAAAAAATAAACTTTAAAAAATAATTACATCAGACAAAAAGTAATGTGCATTTTGTAAATATTTGTGGGTTTTTTTTTTTTAAACTTTTTGTTGGAGCACCTGGGTGGCTCAGTCATTAAGCATCTGCCTTTGACTCAGGTCCCGGGGTCCTGGGATCGAGCCCCACATCGGGCTCCCTGCTCCGCGGGACACCTGCTTCTCCCTCTGCCACTCCCCCTGCTTGTGTTTCCTCTCTCGCTGTGTCTCTCTCTGTCAAATAAATAAATAAAATCTTTAAAAAATCTAAAAAAAAAATAGTAATAAATAAACTTTTTTGTTATTTGGGTAAAATATACATAACATAAAATTTGCCATTTTAATCATTCTTAAGTGTACAATTCAGTAGCATTAAGTACATTCACACTGTTGTGCAACCATTACCATCACCCATCTCCAGAGCTTTTTCATCTTTCCAAACTGAAACTCCATACTTAAACAGTAACTCCTCCTTCCCCTTTCTAGCTCCTGCCAACTACCACTCTACTTTCTTTGTCTATAAATTTGGCTACTCTAGGTACTTCATATGAGAGGAATCATATGGTATTCGTCCTTTTGTGCTTTTTTAAAGATTTATTTATTTCAGAGAGAGAGAGAGCAGAGGGAAGAGCAGAGGGAGAGGGAGACAGAGACTCTTAAGCTGACTCCACATTGATTGAGGAGCTTGCAGGGCTCGATCTCACGACCCCAAGATCATGAACTGAGCCGAAATCAAGAGTCAGACCACTCAACAGACTGAGTCATCCAGGCGCCCCAGTATTTGTCCTTTTGTAACTGGCTTATTTCACTGAGCATAATGTCTTTAAGGTTCATCGAGGTAACATGTCTCAGAATTTCCTTCCCTAATGCTACATAATACTCTGTAGGGGCGCCTGGGGGGGAGGGGGCTCAGTCAATTAAGCAGCCAACTCTTGGTTTTGGCTCAGGTCTTGATCTTGGGGTCATGGGATTGAGCCCTCCATCCGGCTCCATGCTCAGAGCAAGTCTGCTTGGGATTCTCTCCCTCTGCCTCTGCCCCTCCTTAAATAAGTAAAATAAAATAAATTAATTAATTAAATAAACCTTGGGGCATCTCTAAATAAATAAAAATCTTGGGGCGCCTGGGTGGCTCAGTCGTTAAGCATCTGCCTTCGGTTTAGGTCATGATCCCAGGGTCCTGGGATCGAGCCCCAAAACGGGCTCCCTGCTCAGTGGGAAGCCTGCTTCTCCCTCTCCCACTCCCCCTGCTTGTGTTCCCTCTTTCGCTATCTCTGTCAAATAAATAAATAAAATCTTTAATAAATAAATAAATAAATAAATATCTTGGGGCGCCTGGGTGGCACAGTCGGTTAAGCAGCCAACTCTGGTTTCAGCTCAGGTGGTGATCTCGGGTTGTGGGATCAAGCCCCACCTCAGGCTCCATGTTCAGTGGGGAGTCCGCTTGAGATTCTCTCCCTCTACCTCTGCCCCCCTCATGCTCTCTCTAAAATAAATATACAAATCTTTAAAATAAATAAATAAATAGAATCTTTAAAAAAAATATTCCACTGTATGTGCATTATTACATTTTGTACATCTGTCCATAGAAGGAAAGGTTGGATGCCTTTCTTGTTCCCTTGAGGTGGTCCAGCTACCACCCTGATGACATTTTTTTATAGAATAAATCTCCCATCCTCTTCAGTACAGATTACTAACCACTCCCAAATAAATATAGATATCCCCAACTTAGGTACCTCAATTCCTAAAACAGTGAATTTTTCTTATGCAACAAACATTCTTGAATTGCTGAAACGCCCCTGCCTTTTCCTGTCTTCTGCTATATCGTACCTGTATGTGGAATTTCATAATCTAAAGATCCTGTTTCTGCAAACTCATCACTAACTCCTGAGCAATTTGTATAAATGTATTATTACACCTGGGGGGACACAGGCGAACAGCTTTACAGGTAATGATCCTAGTTAGACTACAGTAAACTTTTCTCCACAAAAGGAAGCACTATAGACAGACAGACATGAAACATCAGGCTGGAGGCCAAATGCACACCTAGGAGGCTCTCTGAAGCACACATCTCAGCAATCCTAATTCCAGTCTTAGAATGTACTGACTGGGGTTCTGAATATCAAGATCCCAAATGAGTTAGGTTTTCACCTGAATTTTGACACTACAGTACATTAAAAAGAGCGAAGACAAATACAGCCACTATGCTCCTGTATTCAAGTAAAAAGAGCTTGGTCTTTCCAGTCTTGATTTGGCTCCCTAGTAAGATGACTGATAAGCCTCAGTGCTTAAGTCCCTTCTACCACTCCATACTAGTCTGTCTAAATGTCTATTATGTTGTAAACTTTCTTTGATTTCTACTTATTCTACATACTTGACAGTGGAGATAATTATCTTTAGAGACCTGAATATAAGAATTGTTGGGATAGGCTGCCAGGGTTTTAGCCAGAGCAATGTTTTTTTTTGTTGTTGGGGTGGGGGGCTCACAATGAGCATTTATTCTTCGAAATATCGTAATGTTAATGTAAATTAAAAAAAAAAATCAGTACAGGGGCGCCTGGGTGGCTCAGTCGTTGAGGGTCTGCCTTTGGCTCGGGTCATGATCCCAGGGTCCTGGGATCCAGCCCCGCATCGGGCTCCCCGATTGGCGGGAAGCCTGCTTCTCCCTCTCCCACTCCCCCTGCTTGTGTTCGCTCTCTCGCTGTGTCTCTCTCTGTCAAATAAAATCTTTAAAAAAAAAAATCAGTACATGTATAAATATATATCTATAGCATCTGTATAATAAGCCAGCATAATAAACTACATTATACTGAGCACCTTCCTGCTTTTCATTATCTTCAGGCTAAGTACCTTAGAGCATGTTGACAGTGGTCCTTTTCTCCACACTTTAACCCTTTACATAATTCCTCCTGAGATACCTATGTCCATAACCAGAATGGTTAGGTGATAACAACACTTATGGTCGTGGGCATTTCATAATGTATGCAACTGTCAAATCACTATGTTGTACTTTTTTCTTTTTTAAAAGTAGGGTCCAGGTCCAATGTGGGGCTCCAACTCATGACTCTGAGATTAAGATTTGTATGCCCCACCAACTAAGCCAGCCAGGGGCCCTGCCCTGATAACCAGAATGGTTAAGATCAAAGAGATAAGAAAACTGAGATGGAATGAAGGGTCTGCTATTGTCTAAGGATCCTCTTGATTGCTTCAATAAAAGTCTTTTCCCATCTCTTATCAACAGACTATCGAGAAAGACTGGACTGGCTTTAGGCTGCCCAGGTTTAAGCAAAGTAGACCTCGCCTTCCCCACCCTTGATAAAGAATACCAGGAAGCAAAAAGACACTAAAACATCATGTGGAAGAAAACAGGGTCTAATTCTACATAAAACTCACTACCATACAAAAAAAGAAAAAAACAGGGGCGCCTGGGTGGCTCAGTCATTAAGCGTCTGCCTTCGGCTCAGGTGATCCCAGGCTCCTGGGATCGAGCCCTGTATTGGGCTCCCTGCTCAGCGGGAAGCCTGCTTCTCCCTCTCCCACTCCCTCTGCTTGTGTTCCTGCTCTCGCTATCTCTGTCAAATAAATAAATGAAATCTTTAAAAGAAAAAAAAAAAGCGTACAGTGGTCCT